GGTAGCCTGAACCTGCCATTAGGGATATCCTAGTGCAGGATTGACATATAAAAAAAAACAGTAAAGAAAGATAAGCAAATATGAAGCCTCCTGTCTTGCCATAAAATTGGAGGATTAACCACTGGATGATATCCTTATGGAGGCTGATAATTTAAAACAAATCTTGTTCTTGTATTCAGATAGATACTTTTGTAGCAGATGGATCCATTAAATGCCAGACTCCCAGCCAGTGAATATTTCTTAGAGCAAGCAGTAGGCTTTTAGTGAACACTATAGACAAATCTCTGAAACTCTGTTGCAATTAGCCTTATCACCACTTCAACTTGTTTCAACTGATCTCAGTTTATTAAAGGTGTGGTCTGTTTTCTGCTGGGGCAGAACTTTTCCTGTGCTTAACTCCAGGGTTGCACATTTTATGTTTTCATCCTTTTTTAATTCCAACTCCTATAATTATATCAGTTATATATTTTGTATTGAATGTGCTAAACTGATTGTGGAATTGTAAAATATAAAGGAAATGCTTTCCTAAAATGCTTTGGTTCCTGCAAAGTTTGCATCAAACATGTTTGAAATGCAGTCTGCAGCCATTCAGTTGCTCAAGCCTCTGCTTCCCAAATCCGGCTAAGAAAAAGCCTAAATCATGGGTATTGTCTTACGCAGGCTCTGTATCAATGTGAACAGACTCTCTTTGGCCACTAAAGATGGTAACCTGTATGTACTAGCCTCCATGGGAAAATATTTATTGCTCATGTTACTGGGCTTGACTTTGATGTCTGGTACGGCTGCAGGCATATCCACCATAGTCATTTTGTACCCCGCACTGCCATAGATACGGGATGAAATGGTTTATTGTTACTGCCTAAGTTTGTTTTGCCGTTTTCTTTTTAAGAAAGAGCTTATATGGCAATTGCTACTTGTGATTCTCTCACTATGCAGAATGTTCCCATCCTATAAATTTGTTGATTTACTACAATACTGCTGCCTAACTGGCACCTAATTGTTTGTTGTGCACCCGCCCCTAAAGGTTATGGTGCTTTGTCAACAGCCTAAACAAGGATTCTAGTGAATCTTCTGATGAAGAATTCCCTTTACCAGAGGAGTGCAGTTTCGGTTGCTTGATAAAGAACAGTTCAGGAGCAAAGAAAAGAAATCCAAGGTTTTCCCTTTGCATCCACATTGAAGGTTTTGATTCTCAAGGAATGGTAATTCCCAGGGGGAAGCTTTTTTTTTTTTTTTTCATTTCACTTTAAAACACTTTAAATCTCTCTTATCCTTCAGTAGACGAGATGCTATGGAAAATCGTTTTGATTCTTCTTTAAAGAACCTTTTTTGTCTCTTCAACTTCTCTATGCATCGCACTGATTACAGGTTCTTCAGTGGCAAAGGTACAGAAACATTTGCTGGAAGAATTTGAAAAGATTTTGTGGGTAAATCCAAAAATTCTGTTATTCCATTTAAACCAGGCAGAAATGAAGGATGCCAGATGGTTCTTACATTTCCGTTCTAGATCTCAAGACAAGATTTGGAAACAAAGTCTGTAACTCGGGCTACTATCACCTGAGTTGGTGGCCGAGAAGTTCATTCACCGTTCATCTGAATTTAACCGCATTAATCTTATGGAAACTTCCACTGTCAGTAGACATCCTGGAACACTCCATGGAACCTCTTCCAACTTTGTAGAAGTTCAAACTGACTACCTGGTTTCTGAATACCAGATATTGAAGGATTTTGATATATGCTGAAAAAAGAATCTTGGTCCAGAAATTTTTCCAGTTATGGAAGAAGTTTTGTTTTTGATGTATTAGTTCAAAGAAAATCCGGCAACCACTTCAATTTTTTAACGTCCTTAAATTCCTTCTGATGGACTTTGCAAAAGAATTGAATCCAGCTATCATCAAGGTCCAATTTTCGTCTATCCGTTCTTTTCATTCAGCTGTTTGACTCCATATTCCTAAATCACCAGAATTTTCAAGGCTTTGTCTCATTTGGTTCCTACCATCAGGGAAACTTTTTTTCCTCCATGGGGTCTTATTTTGGGTTTTGGTTTATCAGCTTTGCTGATCTTGAGTCTTCTCTCAAGGTTTTTGGGGGCGATTACCTCGGCCAAATTTTATTTATTTTTTTAAATGGGAGAACTTCAAGCTCTTCAGTTTTTTTTGTTTTTTTTTATCAGGACAAAGTGGTGTTAAAGTTGGATCCTTCTTTTATTCCCAATCTACCATCTGTCATTATTTTACCAACTTTGGCCAACAGCTTTCTGAGACTTTAGCATTCAATTTCCACTGCCTGGACGTTGAGTTCTCTACTGCAGTACCTAAAAAGTACAAAGTCAATTAGGAAATCTAACAGGCATTTGTCTTGTTTCATGGTCCTAGTATAGATTTTATGGCTTCTACAGGATCTGGCCAGAGGGTAAAAGTCTGCATTCGTTTGACTTTTTTCTCATCTAACACCTATCTACATTTAAGCTCTTTCTATTCGAGCTATGTTCACATCTTGGGCCCTGAGGGCTTCAGCTATACCTTCTCATACATTTTCTACAGCCTCGTGGTGATGATCTCTTCACACATTTGCTAAACATTGCAATTAGGCCTGTTGGCCTCGGAAGACACAACTTTGGGCGCAAGGTGTTACAAGCAGTTGTGAAATGATTCCCGCCCTTAGGGGATTGCTTTGGTTATCCCATTTGTAAAGCACTGCCTCTAATCTGAAGGGAAAAGCATTCATTTTTACTTATCGTAAATGTCTTTTTTCCTGAAGATTAGAGGCAGTGCTCACTCCCCCCAAACACAAGCACTACACGCACAAACACACCTGTATTTCAAATACATCACTACATACAAATACCCTTGCATTCAGTCGCAAACACTACACACAAGCAGTGGTGTATTTTTTGATTTGTGCTGTCTGGGCACCCCCCCAATTTAAATTTTTCCCACCCCTTCCTGTCAAGGCTGCACTTTGACAGATGCACACTCATTGACACACACACTCATTGACACACACACGCTCATACACACTGACAAACAATGACAGAGACACACACACACTCACTGATAGACAGATACACACTATTACTTGGACACTCACTGACAGACGCACGCACGCACTCAGACACACACATTCACTTAGACACACACACATTTCCAACAAAACTCACAATTTTTTTTTAAAATTTAAATCCACCCAGCCTCCCTGAGAGAGCTGGAATGGATTACTTACCTGCGCTCCAGTGGGGCTGCTGCACGGGCAGGCAGGGGGCTCTGATCTTCCTGCTCAGGTCCCTCGCGCGCTGCTTAGTGATGGAGGGACCTGGAGTGACTTCATATTCCGGCTCCTGGCTTCATTAAGTGGCGCGGGAAGAGCTTAGATGAACATGCTCTCTTGCTGCCCGCCTCGGGGTGGGGGACTCAAAGTGGCCGGCTCTTGAGCCCCCCAGGACATGAGGCAAACAAGGGATCTGCCTGAGCATTTGGGGGTGTCTTTTTGCCGCCCAAGGCAAATGCCTTGTTTGCCTCGCGATAGATCCATCACTGCACACAAGTAAATCACTACATTCCAATGGCAACAGTACATACAAATACCTATGCATCAACACTCATATACTTCATACTAAAACATTCTTACATTAAAACCCCTCAACACTGCTTACAAATACAACCCTGCACCGGTGGGCAAATGGTAGATTCTCAGCTGGCATAGCATTGTTGGAGTTCAACAGATGGGGATGTACCACTGGGATATTCAACATGAGATGTCTGGATGAAAGAGAGGGACACAGCGCTTCTGATTCTGCCTGAGTCTGTGGGTAACTAGTTGTATGCCTCTAAAACAGATTGCCAAGATATGCCAAGTTTCTGCCACTAAAACTGCCATGATATGCCAAAAACAATGCCTCTTAATCTGCCATATGCCAAAAACGATGCCTCTAAAACTGCCATGATATACCAAAATGATGCCTCTAAATCTGCCATGATAAGCCAGGTTTATGCATCTAAAACTGGTTGCCACAATGTGCCATAGTAAGAAGTTTTCATTTTAATATTCTTCAGATGTTATACCAGTGGTATTGTAATGTTTCACCTCCACCTGGAATACAGACATCTGCCATGAAAGTAAGGTAATATGTGAAAAGAGTACAAAATATGACAATGCACTAAAACAGATGGGACTGGTAACATATTAGAATTTGAGATGTGTACATACACTTTTTGCAACATGTTATAACTGCTCAAGAAACTAAGGCATTGGGTGGTACTTTAGTCTCCACTGACCAAACTAATGGTTAAACTTTGAGTCTTTTCTTTGAAAAAAATTAATTTTGTTAAATGATGAATATATAAATTTGTACTAAAATAATAAAAAAGTTAATATATCAGACCATACAATTAATACTGTGTTTTGCTTTGTTTTATTAAAAGTGCTTAAACAAATAGGATAATCATGCAAATATATATATTTTTTTATATTTGGGTATTTTCTTTTAAACAGAAATACAAAATAAGCGCAATAATGTGTGTCTAGATTTATGGACATAATCTAATAAATGCACCTATTACGTGACAGCATTTGTTTTTTTACGTATATAAAAAAAAAAACAACAAAGAAAAGCAATGGAATATGGGTGGATTTGTGCTAATTACAAAGTGCAGATGCAGCTCCCCTAGATAACCACTCAGACACAATATAATATCACAAAAAGCAGTGTGCGCAATAATAACCACCAACACACATTGAAGTATACTTAGGACATTTGTGATGATAAACCTCTGTAAAGCAAAAAGAGCTCACATAGCATAACAATGTTTTATCACACAATATTAACCACAGAGGTAGTAGGTCACTCACAATCTCCAGAGCCACATATAACAGGCTCTGGCTATGTTGGCTTGTAAATAGTAATGCTAATTTCCCATCCTAGTACTTCTTCCACAGAATCAATAAGAAGTCTTCATAAATAAAATATTATTTACTCAAAAATAGTAAAAGAAAAACACAGTCCACAATTAGGGAAAGCACAATGCGTTTCAACCTTAACATCTTCAATGTTCGTTAATCCTTCCATCTCTGGGCTCTGTCCGGAAATCAAATTTGGTGGCGTTATTCATGTATCTCTCGGTCACTTCTGGGTTACGTCAATACTCCGGTAGTGTGACCTTTCACACTGCGTGCTTACGTATGACATCATTACGTGTGCGCAGCGACGTAACAGCGCTATTGCGTCACACTCCTGTATCCAGTGTTCTATCGGAAATCTATATCTATCAGACTTGTATACAGACGTCACTTCCAGTGCACCCACGTCACCAGAAGTGACGCAAAATAGGCTGCGTGCATGTGGGGTTAATGTGGGTGACACACAGGGGATGGGTGGTTAATAGGGGTCACACCCATTAACCCCCCATCCTCTGTGTCTCACCCCCATCCCATGTTTGTCACCCCCATTAATCCCCCCTATCCCATGTGTCTCACCCACATTAACTATAGGCAATATAACTCAATACATTTTATTTAAGAAATAGAATATGAAAATCAGAGGTTTATCATCGGGTATTTTCTGTAAATAAACGTACCTCACTTTGTGTTGGTGGTTATTATTGTGCACCCTGCTTTTTGTATTATCTGTAATATTTTTTTTTTCTTCCCATTTACATTCTTTTATCTAAATCTTCATGAATTTTTTTGCCATGACAACCAATACGTAATGGGAGGAATCACTAAGTTGTTAAAATTGTGCATTACGTTCTTACAAGCTTTCCTTTATACAAAATTTGCAGTGGTGTTCAAATATTAGTAATCATCTGCCTTCATGCTAATGTAGTTAAAACATTGGTTTGGATATTTATGTAGAGTTTGCCACAGCAACCCTTTAGTGGGCTTCTTCAAAAATTCTTATCAGTTTCTTATGCATATAAAATACCCACATTACGTGTAAAAGAAGCAATTTATATATTTTAAAATCAATTAGAAATAGAAAGCTAAATTCAAAATGGAACATATGTAAAAACAGTAATTTTCGGAAAAGAGAATGATTTCATTAGAAGAGAATGGCCCCAGCTGAATGGATAAATAACTCCTTATGAAGTTTAAATAAAATTAAGGTGAGAAAGTTAGCTTTGAGATATGCATTATTTATAGTATGATAAATTATCAGTATTAATATTAATTGTATGTAGTGTTAAATCCTTGCTCACACCAACCAGTCCCAGGTATCAATTGATACATGGGACTTCCCTCTGTCAGCTGGGGCCATTTTTGTGACAGATGAGCTGCATGCAGCTTTAAAGTCAGTGCTACATGCAGCTCCTTAATCCATTAAGGACTGAGTCAATCGTACACGTTCTGATCAAAACAAAATGTAAACAAAACCTGGAATTTGAGCTATATGTGGTTTAACCGTAATTCACCTCTTTCATATTAATTGCAGCCACACTTATTATAGATCATTTTATTCAGGAGAAAAAGGGTTTTCATTTCATATCACAAATTTATATATGAAATATAACTTAATATGAATAAAATCTAGAGAAATTAGGATTTTTATTTTTCAAGTTCTGCATGACATTTTAACTGTGAATGTCATAATACTGTTGGATTTTACTGCAATAAAATACACATATTTGTATTCACAAATGTCTCACGAGTACAACAATATCCCATATGTGGAATTCTTCTTCTTTTTTTTTTTTTTTAAACTTGCAGGGGGCAAATACTTACAAAAACTTACAGCTTTCCCCTTTTCCGTGTTTGCACATTGAAATTTGCCAGATTGTTTTGTTGCCTTTGAGACCGTATGGTAGCCCAGGAATCAAAATTAACTCCATTATGGCATACCATTTGTAAACGTAGACAACCCAATGTATTCAAAATGGGGTATGCCCAGTCTTTTTTTTTTTTTAGCCATTTAGTCACAAACCCTGGCGAAATTTAGCGTTTATAATTTTTTTTTGCATTTTTCACAAATAAACTGCCCTTACGTCAATTATAACATCAGTATAACACATTTCACTGCTCTAAAGCACTCATATTTGAGTAGAGTAATGTCTTATGAGTACAACAGTACAACTCATGTGCAGGTTTTATGGTGGTTTAGAAAGTTACAAGGTCAGATATAAGATTTGCCAATTTCTGTTTTTGCAAATTGAAATTTGCCAGATTGGCTATTTTGCCATTGAGATGGCATAGCAGCCCAGAAATGAAAATTGACCCCATTATGGTATACCGTTTGCAAATGTAGGCAACCCATGGTATTCAAAATGGAGTATGTGCAGTCGTATTCAATAGCCATTTACTCACAAACCATGGTCCAAGTTAACAGTTGTTTTTTTGCACTTTTCACACAAAAACTGCACCTTCATTAATGATATCATCGTCATGATTCATTTTATGGTTTTAAAACACTTGTGTTTGTATTTAGCGTTGTCTCCTGAGAAAGTTACAGCATTAAATATAGGGCTTGCCAATTAAATTCTCTGGACTGTCTGCCCGGGCTGTCAGGTAGGTCCCTTAAATTATAATTAATAAAATCAAATTATGTAAAATTAGGAATTAAATATATATGTAGAATTTAAATTGCAGGACTAAAACAGAAGGAACTAAAATGCAAGGAATACAACTTTGTATTCCCTACACTAGCGGTTTGCAAACTGTGTGCCTTGGGGTGCTGCGACGTGCACACAGGGGTGCCATGGAATAGTCTCTGTAATGTCGGCCAGCTGGGACGAAGTGACAGCATGTGTATGTATTTATGTGTGTATGTATGTATGTGTATATATATATATATATATATATATATGTCAGTGTGCTTCTGTGTGCGTGCACACATCTGTGTATGTGCATCTGTCTGGTTTTATGTCAGTGTGTATCTGTGTCATGGTGTGGGCATGTATCAATGTTTGTGGGTGTCAGGGTGCATGTGTGTATATGTCGGTGTATTTATATGCATCTTTTTGTTAATGTACATGAATATCTGTGTAAGTATGTATGTGGTAGTGTATGTGAATATATCCAAGCAGTCAAACACCAGCCCAACATACATGCACACTCCTGCAATCTAACACAAATATTACATACAAACACACCCCTGCATTCAAACAAAAGAATATATACAAACACACCCCTTCACTCAAACACAAATACTTCCCACAAATGTAAATCCACATTTAAAAGAGAACATTACATTCAGACACACCCCTGCAATCAAACATCACATACAAACACACCCGTGTATTAAAACACAGTAAATGTATACAAGCACCCCTTCAAACACCAACACTGTACATTACACTGTAGCGCCAGTAAATGCCGCAGTGCTGTACAGATATACAACCTAGAAATTTTGACTTGGGGTGCCTTGGAAAAATACTGAAATATTAAGGGCGCCTTGAACCTAAAAAGTTTGGGAACCACTGCCTTACACTATAAAATCAATTTAAATTTGTTTTGTTTCTGTTTATACAGCAATGGCCACACCTTTCCCGGCTATGACTCACACAGATTTAATAAAAAAACGTGGTTTCATTTTCAATCAGCAGTGACAGAACATCACTCCTGCTCTGTTAGTTGAACTTTAAAGGGACACTCCAGTTCCCAAATACAAAAAAAATTAAAATCAAATCACTGTTTAGTAGATGATGGAAAATGAATTTATTTCTGGTTTAATTGTTGACAATTGTATTCGCATGTCTGCAGTTGCGTCAAGTTGATTTCGATACTCTGTTTTTTTTTGTTGCAAAGTAAAGTGAGAATCCATGCTTGGACAATTCAGAGTATTCTTCGCATAAATCACCCCAAAAATCAATAAGAGAAATTTCTTAAAATTTTTGGCTTAGTTGACTGTCAGAAGTTATATCGATCAGATTCTCAAAATCTACATCAGAAAAATTGGCTGGCTTGTCTTGTATGAATGGATTTCGAACCCACTTATTATTGTTTTCATTCAAGAATGGAAAATACTGATTAATAGATGTGATTAAATGGCGAAGATGATCTACAATTTAATTGCGAATTTCATCTTCAAGTTCAATTTCTGATTCTTCAAGAAAATCCATAAGTGTTTGCAAAGAGTTCAAATTATTTTGCTTGACAGATGAAAAAAACTGCAGTCCAAAACTGCAGCTTATGAGCCAGTGAAAATATTTTCTCTCTTCTATTAAAAATATTAGTGTTTTTTCCTTCGAGTGATAAACATACGTCATTTAATTTTGTGAATATGTCTGCAAGAAATGCTACTTTGGATAACCACAGAGTGTTTGTTAATCTAACAAATAATCCGAATTTATGATCCTGGAAATATGCAAACAACTCTTGACGCAATTCAAACATTCTAACTAGGACTTTACTTCGTGATAGCCAACGGAGTTCTGAATGCAAAAGCAGAGCAGAGTGGTGACTACCCATATCTTCACATATAATTTTAAATAGTCGTGACTGTAATGGTTGACTTTAAAAAAAATTAATAATCTGGACCGATTCGTCTAGCACAGTTTTAATTGAGATTGAAATATTTTTAGCTACCGGTGCATGTCTGTGAAGAACACATTGAGAACTGGTGCTGTTTTTTGCTACATTTCTTATTCGTATCACAGCGCCTGCCATGTCCCCAACCATTGCTTTGGCACCATCACTGCACACATCTACACATTTGTCCCAATTTATACTGTGTGTGTGTTCATGAACTTCTGGATACAGCTAAAGATGTTCCCACCAGTGGTATGAGTTTTCAAAGTTTCACACAGAAGCAAAAAAATTGAAAGTCCTACAACATCTGTGGACTCGTCTAATTGCAGTGAATACCCATCACATTGATGCGGTCGAGAAATTAGTTCAGTATGGATGTCATCAGCAAGATCATGAATACAGCGCCAAACTGTGTTGTTGGAAAGTGGCACAGCTTCAATTTGTTTTCATCCTCTCATGGTTTTCCTCTTATTTCTCTCAACGCTCATTCAGTGTCTCCTTTTCTAATGATACCTCCTCCCCTCGTTCTGTCTTGGTTGTAGTCCCCCAAGGCTCTGTCCTTGGTCCCCTTCTATTTTCTCTTTATAATGCCTCTCTTGGATGCTAATTACCTCTTTTGGATTCCACTATCATCTGTACGCTGATGACACCCAGATATATCTCTACTCCCCGGACCTCTCCTCTGCCGTTCTGCAACGTGTCACTGCTTGCCTTTCTTCCATCTCTGACTGGATGTCCTCCCGCTTTCTGAAACTCAATCGCTCTAAAACTGAGCTCCATGTATTTCATCCTCCTAATACTGATCCTACTATTTTTCTCTCCCTTCAAATTAGTGGTATCCACATAAGTCCATCCTTGCAAGCGTGCTGTCTTGGCGTCACCTTTGAGCCTCACATCCAGTATGTTGCCAAATCCTGTAGATTCTATCTCTGTCAGTCCTTACATTGGCTTCCTGTATCCTATAGAAGTCAGTTCAAAGTACTAACCCACACCTATAAAGCACTGACCAATTCTAGCCCCTCATATCTCTTCACTGATCCATAGGTATGCCCCTTCTCAGTCTCTCTGCTCTGCGCGTGACCTTTTCCTGTCTGCTGCTTGCACCCGTACGGCCAACTCACGCTTGCAGGACTTCTCGCGGGTGGCTCCTTTCCTATGGAATAGCCTGCCTATTGCCATCAAACTCTCCCTTAGTCTTCAATCATTTAAGAAGTGCCTTAAAGGACCACTATAGGCACCTAGACCACTTCAGCTTAATGAAGTGGTCTGGGTGCCTGGTACAGCTAGGGATAACCCCTTTTTTTTTAATAAACATAGCAGTTTCAGAGAAACTGCTATGTTTATAATAGGGTTAATCCGCCTCTAAAGCCTCTAGTGGCTGTCTCATTGACAGCCGCTAGAGGCGCTTGCGTGCTTCTCACTGTGAAAATCACAGTGAGAAGACACCAGCGTCCATAGGAAAGCATTGTAAATGCTTTCCTATGAACTGGCTGAATGCGCGCGCGGCTCCTGCCGTGCATGCGCATTCAGCCGATGACGTCGCTATGAAGGCGGAGAGGAGGAGGAGAGCTCCCCGCCTGGCGCTGGAGAAAGGTAAGATTTTAACGAGTATGTTTTCCTGGCACTCTAGTGGTCCTTTAAAACCAATCTCTTTAGGAAAGCTTATCGCCTCCCGGAGTAACCTCTACCTTACATACCGGTCTCTTGCTCTCTCTTAAAGGGCAGCACTCTACTCTCTCCTCCAGCTCTGCTTCACTCCCACCTTGTTTGATTGATATTTCCTGTCCTAATCTGTTTTATACCCCACCTCCTATAGACTGTAAGCTTGTTTGAGCGGGGCCATCTTCAACCTACAGTTCCTGTAAGTTTTCTTGTAATTGTCCTATTTATAGTTTAAATTCCCCTTCTCATAATATTGTAAAGTGGAATCTGTTGGCGCTATATAAATAGCGATAATAATAATAATAATGTGTGTGCATCTGTGTGTGTCAGTGTGTATCTGTGAGTGTGTGTGTGTGTGTGTATGTATATATATATATATATATATATATGTGTAGGTATCTGTGAGTGGCAGTGTGTATCTGTGAGTATGTTTGTGTGCCAGTGTGTAGCTGTTAGTATGTATGTAATGAGTGTGTGTGTACCACAGACAACGTAGTCCACTGCACTCAGGTACCGCTTTTCACTCTGGCCCACAGCCTCAGAGGTACTCTGCATTAGACAGACACTGCTTATCCGTCCAAGAATACAAGGTAATATAATATACAGGCAACACTCCAGGTACTGAAGGTGTATTTATTGGAGGGTAAAACACCCCATAAAAGTGCAACGTTTTGGCTCTAGAGGGACTTAAGCATGATTAAGGTCCACTAGGGCCAAAATGTTGCACTTTTGCACTTTTATGGGGTGTTCTACCCTTCAATAAATACACCTTCAGTACCTGGAGTTTTGCCTGTATATTCTATTAACTTGTATCTGTGTGTGTATATGTGCGTCTCTGTGTGTAGGGATGTGTGTGTGTGTGTGCCAGTGTGCATGTGTAGGTATGTGTATCTGTAGGGTATGTGTGTGTGTGTGTGTATCTCAAGGTATATGTTTGTATCTGTGTGTATGTCTGCAGGGACGTGTCTTCCGCAAGGCAAACAAGGCATCTGCCTTGGGCGGCACTTTGCAGGGGGCAGAAAAAAAAAGCCGCCCCCAAATGCCCAGGCAAATCCCTTGTTTGCTTTGCGTCCTGGAGGGCTCAAGAGCTGGCCGGCTGGCCACTTTTGAGCCCCCCCGAGGCGGGCAGCGAGGGAGCATACTCACCTGAGCTCTTCCTGATCAGCTCCCTCCGCACTGCTTAATGAAGCCGGGAGCCGGAATACGACGTCACTACTGCTCCCGGAATCACTAAGTGCCGTGTGAGGGAGCTGAGCAGGAAGATTAGAGCTCCCTCGCCGCCTACTCTGCTTGTCCGCCCCCTGCCTGCCCACCCAGCAGCCCTACTGGACAGGTAAGTAATACACTCCAGCTCTCCCAGGGAGGCTGGGTGGATTTAAAATAAAATTAAAAAAAAATAATAATTTGTGAGTGTTGGGAGAAATGTGTATGTGTTTATGTGTCTGTAAGTTTGTGAGAGTGTGTGTCTGTCAATGAGTGTATGCTTCTGTCATTGAGTGAGTGTCTGGTAGTCAAAGTGCGGCCTTGACAGGAAGGGGTGGGAAAAATGTAAATTAAGGGGGGGATTCCTGCCTAGGGCAGCACAAATCCTAAATACAACACTGTATGTGTGTGTGTGTGTGTGTGTGTGTGTGTGTGTGTGTGTGTGTATCTCAATATATTAGTTTGTATCTGTGTGTAATTGTGTTTCCATATCCCTGTGTGTGGTCACATTTGTGTACAGCCTCCTACTCCTAAACTAGAGTCCCCTATTCCTCTGCTGCAGGCTTTTTCACCCCGCTATAGCTCACCACCAGTGCACCCACCCACCCCCCGAGATTTGGTTCTGGATCCGCCCCTGTTGTGAACCCGAATGACAAGTAGCTATCATCATATTTTCTTTTTCTTTATTTGAGAAGATTGGCTAGTGTGCTTTTCTTTTTTTCTTTGACTTGTCACTTGTCTCTGCTATTTGAGGAACAGGAGGTACTATTTCGGGCATGATTTCTGGATTTTTAGTTGTATCTTCTTTCTCAGTTTCTATAAGTGCCGAACAGGTAGAAGTAGTAATTTTTCTCTGAAGAGTTCCCTGCTTTAACCAGCTGTCCAAATTCATGGTTGTTTATTGGTAAAAAAAAAAAAACACTTTAAAAAATACAGATCTCACAACCTGACTGAAAAGGATGCTAATTTTGATAACGTTCTTAGAAAGAACTGAACTTAAGCAGGATTTTTGAGTTCGACTTGGAGCAAAAAGATTTGGACACTTTGAAAAATACAGTTAACAGTTTTTGCCCCTCACAGAGTCTTTCAATGCCTCTGACAGAGTCTTTCGATGCTCCTGACAGAGTCTTTCGATGCTCCTGACAGAGCCTTTTAATGTCCCTAACAGATATTTTCAATGCCCCTGACAGAGCCTTGCCTGCTTATTGAGTTTAGCTCCACTGAGCTAACCAATCTAGGAAGTAACAGAACCAGTTTTCTGCTTGAAAGCCAGGGGATGTAACCAGGTTAACTAACAAAAGTGTCAACTTGTATTGAAATCTGAACTGTTTGTAAAATGAAAAAAATATGACACACTCTTCACACATCAAACGTTTCAGTAAGCTAAAGTGTTTTAGGGATCTGCAGTGTCCTTTTAGATTCAAACAGAAGGCTATTAATGGAGCAGAATATAAGACATTCTAAATTCCTGATCCATGAGGAAACATTAACATGTAATCTCATATAGTACCTTCTTTCATGTAAATACGGGGAATTGTGCAGACATTTCACAATCTTTACATTTAGAGAAATCAGAAAACTGCAAACCTCCATTTTGGATATCAAGACTTCTCCCTCAGTGGGAGAGCTATTCACAATTCAGTAACAGCTGCAGTACATCTCAAGTGGCTAATTAGACCAGCCATGATTACCCCAATGACTGGGTGTGGTATGCTATTAGCAACGCAAAGGCAAAGGTTTCCTAGTCTGTAAAAAAAATAAAAAATGCATTGTTTTATTTATTAAGTAAAAAGTCTGATAAATAAAGGTTTTAGGAACAGAGACTTGCCATTTTCTTCAGTAGGGTCTTGGCCAGTGATGGCTAACCTTGACACCATAAATTGTTTCTGGACTACATTTCCCATGATGCTCAGCTAGCTTTTAGTCTAAAATTTAGCTGAGCATCATGGGAAATGTAATCCAGAAACAATTTATGGTGTCAAGGTTAGCCATCACTGGTCTAGGCAGCCACATTCAAACCAGTTTAATTACAGAGTTCATACTGCAAACATAAACAGATATAGAAAAGTTTAGGAGTATCCCTGACAAAGGTTAACTTCCATTCTCTATTGGAGACCAGGTACAGGAGCAGGAATCATTGAAACAAATCCTTCCACACTCTCTTAAAGAGGTATGTTTGCCCGCTGAAGGCCATATGAGCCAATAATGGTGTAACATCATTCCATTCACTTCTGAAACTGAAGTCCGTTTATGTGATTTGTAACACAGGTGCTAATCAATCAGTGCCACACAATTATTTAGAAAATGCCAAAGTGGGCTTACCATCAGGGTTCTGTCAGTTATATTGGATAGGAGGTCCCAAAACAAAGGTTATCGTCCACTCACTGAAGAAAGCGACGTTAACATGAAGGTCACTGGTGCCAGTGAGTCAAAGCCACATATATTGTTAAGAACAAGTGCCAACGTGGACTTACAGCCAGGCTTGTGTAGCTTATAATAAGTAAACGTGCTGAGACAGACATGTGGATGAGTGGTCAGAACTAATGATATCTTCCATTCTCTGAAGGAAGGACTGTTTATGTGTTAAAATCTAGCTTATTGTATTTGTTCTGGTGAGTACTGACAGTCATTGTCTCCAACCTCTGCATGCAGACACTGAACTTTCCTCATAGAGATGCATTTATTCAATGCATTTCTATGAGGTGATGCTGATTGGCCAAGGCTGTGTTTGGCTTGTGCTCTCTGCCCGTGATATGGCTCCTTGACAAGCTCAGCCAATCCAATGTGAAAGCATTGTGATTGGCTGACAGAATCATTTCTGATGATGTCAGCGAAGCAAGCAGATCAGGGGCAGAGCCAGCAGCAGACTGCAATAAAAGTAAGATTTTTACTATATTTAAGGGTGGAAGGGGGAACCATGGGGGCAACATGATTGTTTTAACACTATAGGGTCAGGAATATGTTTGTGTTCCTGACGCTATAGTGTTCCTTTAATAATGGTTTGTTTAAATGTGACATTGTATTTTCTACTATCGTTGTTGTCTACAATTTTGCCTTGTTATACTTGAATTTGACAAATAATAAAGAATTTATATAAAAACCAAACAAAAAATAAATTAAACATACCATAAATATTACTTAAAATGTACTTATTTACAATTACTTATTTTCAGAACTGATACTTTGAATCATTTTTCTCTACAATTAACTTCTTTAGGCCTAGCGATAAGTAAATACTGTGAGAATAACAGACTTGCCTAAACCTGGCCTTCTGGGAGATAATATGGAATAAATCTTACCAATATTGTGAAGAAACAGAGTGAAAGAAAGGCACATGTAATATAGAGCAACATCAAGAAAGTTAAACGTTTTTTTTGTTTGTTTGTTTTTGCTTTAATTAAGGAGATATAATGTGCAAAAAAGTCTACGCAGAAAAATAACTTTTACTGCCACTTTAAAATATTTAGCTCAAAATATTTCATTTTTCACCCATATCATGGCAAACAGAGGTCTAATACTCACACACAACGAATGTGCTTTTATTACAGTATAACAAAGGTGTAAATATATAACAAATATTCTAGTAATTTATATTTCCAAGTTTGTACTCATTGTCTACAGAGTATCAGGTTATTTGTGCTTATGCAAACATAACTATATCCAACTAAACCCAATGTTAGAAAGATATATCTTTAATAAGTTTATACTGCGGAGCACATTCTGATCCTGCACTCTGTATATAAGACATTGTGATGCTCCTTGTCTTATAAATCAAATCCTTATCTCTTTATTTCCGAAGAGTAGATACATTATATGTGGGAGATACATAAGGGAGGGGAAAAAGAGAGAGAGAGAGAGAGAGAGAGAGAGAGAGAGAGAGAGAGAGAGAGAAAAAAAAAAGTAATTTTGGTTACTTTCTGTAAATGCAACAAGGTCAATATTTTTAACATCCGTACCAATTATAACCTTAAAGGGACACTATAGTCACCAAAACAATAACAGCTTATTGAATTTGTTCTAGTGAGTAGAATCATTACCTGCAGGCTTTTCAGAGAAAATGCAGTATTTACATTACAGCCTAGTGATATCTTCACTGGCCACTCCTCAGATGGCTGTTAGAGATCCTTCCTGGGTCATGGCTGCCTAAAATGCATCCAAACATTCAGTATCTCCTCCCTCTGCATGCAGACACTGAACTTTCCTCATAGTTTTGAGGAAATGCTGATTGGCCAGGGCTGTGTTTGAATCATGCTGGCTATGCCCCTGATCTGCCTCTTTGTCAGTCTCAGCCAATCCTATGCGGAAGCACTGTGACCACTTCTGATGATGTCAGCAGACTGCTTTTTTTCTGAGTCTAACAGCATGCAGAGTTACAGCTTCAGGCTTGAATACAGTAAGATTTTACTATATTTATGGAGGCATGAGGGGCCTAGGGGGCTAGATGGTGGTTTTAACACTATAGGGTCAGGAATACATGTTTGTGTTCCTGACCCTATAGTGATCCTTTAAAGTTCAATCTTTATCTGACAATGATAGGTGCCTAACACTGGTACAGAAAGAGATAAATAGTTTTATATGACAGCAGCCTTTCCTGAATAAAAGATCTAGATCAGGAGTGCCAAAAGGGTAGATCCCCAGATGTTGTAAAACTACAACACCCTAAATGCTTTGCATGCCTTTTGAATGCCTTTAGAACGGCAAAGCATCATGGAAGCTGTAGTTGTAAAAACATTTGGGGAGTTACCTTTTGGGCACCCCTGATCCAGATTAAAAGTTTTCTTTAAAAAATTATATAAATGAGCTTCCAGGTCATCACTAGATGATTAAACATATAAATATATATACATTATTTAGTGAACAAGGAGAAAGAATGATAGCCTTTAAAGGCAATAAGGGTATTTTTATTATGTGGAGCATCTTTTGATCATGTTCTGGAATATTATATTATCTCCTAGTAAACAGCAAACTGATTTGATCAGTAAACAATGTTCTAAATTCTATCCTACCTGTGTTCCAGATGTTTCATGGCTGTGCATTGATTGGTTTTCTCTCCCAGTCTGTCAGCGACATCCTTGTTGTCAGTGTCCTCTTCAGAATGCTTTAAAAGTAACAATACCGTATTTTCTCACAATCGTAATTAGTACAGGACAGTGGTCATTATATTACTACTTGGGGGAAAGATACCAGAATTTAGTGGTTCCTAATGGATTTTTTCCCTTAAGTTGCATTGGAATGTTAGAATGTCTCTTTTTTGCTGCAGGATTTTTTTTTTTTCTTATTTATATTTATGCTGTAACTTTGTGATTTGTTTGTAATATTTGTAACAGTGCTAAGTAATTTTATTCTAAATGCATAAATGCAATTTCAGGGTCTGGCAATTGTAAAGAAATTATATCAGTCGGCAATGTTATATGAATCATCAAACCAAGAGGACTGGAATTCACAGCATGAGGCAAGGCTGTGAATCTCATGTCTCTAATTGTCAGTTTAGATCCTTCCATCAATGATTATCTCTGCTCCCTATAGACATATGCTGTTGGAAGGGCTACGGAGAGAGATGAGGTTCAAGTTTTCAAATGAGTAAGGCGTGAGCTAAAGAGTTACTGATGTCACTGGAGCCATGGCTTCAGACTATGAGGAACTTCAAAAAATTCTTGGTTTTGGAGACATCCATGAACCACTCTACTTTAAATCTGGTGGTTTATAACTCTAGAAATTCCCGTAATGGACTATCGGTCTGCCAATTCTTGGGTTCAGAGAACATTTAAGATATACGTTATAACAGCAGATATTCATACCTGCATTTTCTGATACATCTCATTTTTTATTGCTTTTACATTTTCAAGTTGTTCCTTCAGTCCATAGAGGGTATCTTGTTTTTCATGAATGTCTTTCTCCAATAGGTTCATTGCAAGTTCAATTTCATGCTGCATTTCCATAGGTGCAAGTTCACTTTCTGCATCCTGTCAAATAAAGGAATAGTACATGTGAGCTAACATTTTAAAGCTAAAAGTGGGAGGTTGTTTGAAACAGGAAGGTATTTTCTTTACTCAGATCTGTCCACCAGTGTAGAAAAAAACTGGTGCAAAGATTCTAAGAGTTGATGAGAACAGAAATTGATTTATTTGAAAAAAAATATGAATGAACAATCACAGCCCATAAAATAGAAAATCTTCCATGAATTTATTCACATAAAAGGAACACTTGAAGCACCATAACCACTTCAGTGCCTTATATTGGTTATGGTGCCAGGATTGTCCTGGCATCCCAGCCCAAGGTAAGGAGTCAAACTGTTGTAACTGTAGTAACATTTGGGTTTTACCTGGTGTCTGCTTGTCTTACCTGGTGTCCATTTAACAAATCACAACATAAAGATACAATATTTATTTTCTACAAATGCCAAAATATTTCCCTATCCACATATTAGGTGATCACATCCTGAATGACTAAATGAAGTCTCATTTCTCCCCACCCATGTTTTCTATCACATACATTAGGAGATAAACTTACATGCCCCATTTCTGAATCTTCGTGATGTTGTGAACAAGGTTCATTGTAAATTTCACCCAGTGCTAGTCTTGAATGTCTGTATGACTGTTCAGCTTCAAGACTTGCCTTGGTAGCCTGTAAATAAATCACAATACTAAATGAGAAATGTGTATGCAAAATATATGATTAAAGGGATAGCGTCTCTTATTTGACTGGTCTAATAAGACTTTCATGTTGTTTAAGCGAAGAAAATATTTGATACGTTTCATCTTTTTTCATTTATGCAATTCTGTTTTGTTTATATCTCTTAAAATCATAGAGTGGTTATCCCCCCCATTCCATAGAGATATAAATCACTAATGGACTATCTGTACAGAAGCAATACAATAATAAGTAGAAAAATAGAAGATCAAATGTTATTAAAAAAAATGATAAAAATTCTTTAATAAAGATTATAACAAAAAACAAATCGAAGATCAGAATAAATGTAAAACTATACAGTTGCTGTCTAGAACAATGTATAGCCACTGTGTAGGCCTACATTCTCCAGAATACAGATCTGACTTCTTGCCCCCTTGAAAGAACCAGATCACTGATAACAAGGGATTAAAGGTATATGACAGGGGCAGAGCCTGGCTACTGAGCAGTCCAGACGTGTGTTGCATGTGCTCCTGCGTCTGGCACCTTACAATCGACAATATTTTCAAGCCAAACACTTACCTGGACGCAGAGTACAACTAAGCTTGTTCCTGAAATGCTGGTGGTGCGGGGAACACCTCTCGCGGGCTTCTCCGCCACTGAAAACCCTGACTCGAGGCTTTGCAGCCTACCAGCAACCGGGCGGAGGAGGGGCGGCTGCTTTGACTGGCATTAAGACACTCGATTAGTGCTATCCCCCCAATCCATGGACCAGCAGGGGTTATCCCGGTCCTCTCTAGCTAGCCCCGTATACTCATGCCACACTCAGACGGCCAACACCTGCCACATGGTGTATCCGGCTGAAGAATTCAAGATGGCGGACGAGTTCCCTGAGAGGGGCGTGAGCTGCACAGGCCAGAGACAATCCTACCGGGCTTGGTGGACGGCATGCTGCAACTCCTGGATAAGGTGTTTGAGAGGTTCTGGCAAAAGGCACATGGGAACATGCGGAGTGGCAAGAGCCAAGGAAAACCTAAGCCTCCTATGGGCAAAGCACCCCGAAAGCATTTGTAAAACCTGCTTCAGACACATCGGGGAGGAGGGCTGCTCCGGCCACAGCTGCACAGCATAGACCGCGACAGCGTAAACTCTGCACCGGCGTCAGGCGGCAGACCACCCAAAGCCCCCACAGTCTCCCGGCGGTGAGGGACTTGGTTTCTAACATAGTCCGGGACCATGGATGCCAGAAACAAACCCCCTCTCAAGCCTAGAGAAGCGAAGTTGATACACTGGCATATCTCCCTCATGCAGCAAAACCCAGAGACTCACCCACTATACCAAGCCAAGGCATTGGCTGACATGGACATGCCAAATACATCCCGTGCATGCCTCAAGGACATATTTCTTTATGTCACAACTGGCACCAGGGTGCTCTACTATGTCCTTCTACACCCATGCTGAGGTTGCCGTCAATTTTATTTTATGTTATAGTTTGCGTTATCTTTGATTTTCTAGTCGCCTGCCTATGGCTGAACACACTTTACACTATATTGAGGCACTCCAGTTGTTAACCTCATTAGCAACATTACACAGGCTCACCTAAACAGTTTCCTCCTTAACACATCCATTATGTACATGCACCTCGCTTACAATCCAGCTGACCATCATGCTTAATGTGTTATATTCTTGCCTACACTAAAGGAGAGCCAAATATGTTGCTATATATATAAAGCCTGTGCCAAGACTGACTTAAACAGTATTATTTTTCTGCACCACAAGCATACTGTATTTCCCACACAAGCCTTGGGAAGAGTGTTATCATTCAAGTGAATGAAAAGCAAACCAGTCATTTAAGAGAAATGTTCCACACTGTTCATCAGGGCCAGACTGGGAAAAAAATTCGGCCCGGGCATTTTTTAATCACAGCGGCCCACTAAGAAGGGGGCGAGTCAGAGATGGTGTGTTTTGTCATCACCAATGACAAGCACGCCCCCTCTCAAAGTGAGCATGTTGGTTCAATGCTCTTCCAGGGCAGACCATGTGCAGAGCTCTGTTGAAGTATGCAGTGTGTGTGTTAGGGTAGTGTATGTGTGGGAGGGAGCTGTGTATGTGTTTGTGAGGGTGATGTATGTGAGAGGGAGCTGTGTGTGTGTGTGTGTGAGGGTAATGTTTGTGTGAGAGGGAGCTGTGTGTGTGCATGTGTGTGTGAGGGTAACGTGTCTGTGAGAGAGTTGTGTGTGAGGAATATGTGTGTGTGTGTGGGTAATGTGCGTGTGAGGGTGATGTGTGCGTGTGTGTGAGGGTGATGTGTGAGAGTGAGGTGTGTGTCTATATGTTAGGAGGGATTGCGTATTAGTGGGGGGGGGGGGAAACAAACAAAAAAAAACTGGCATTATATCCCCCTCCCTTCTTACCTTTAGCCTGGAAGGAGGTTGCTTGGTCTGATAAATTAAAATTGATTTTAGATCAGGTGGATGGCTGGGTACCTGTGCGTCGTTTACCTGGGAAGAGCAGGATGCACTATGGGAAGAAGGCAGGCCGACAGAGGCAGTGTTATGCTCTGGGCAATGTTCTGATGGGAAATCTTGGGAACTAACATTCATGTGGATGTTATATTGACGCGTACCACCTGCCTAGAGATTGTTGCAGACAATGTACACCCCTTCTTGGCAATGTTGTTCCCTAATGGCAGTGGCCTTTTTCAGCAGGATAATGAACCCTGCCACAACGCAATAATTGTTCAGGAATGATTTGGGGAACATGACAAAGATTTCAAGGTGTTGTCTGGCCACCACATTCCCCAAATCTCAATTTGATTAAAGGAGCACTATAGGGTCAGGAACACAAACATGTATTCCTGACCCTATAGGGTTAAAACCACCATCTAGCACCCCCCCCCCAAATTCCCTCATGCCTCCATAAATATAGAAATCTTACTTGTATTTAAGTCTGGATCTGCTAGCTCTGGCTCTGTTTCCTTTAGACCTGCCCACTGCCTGCTGACATCATCAGAAGTGGTGGCCTGATCCAATCACAATGCTTCCCCATAGGATTGGCTGAGACTGACATAGAGGCAGATCAGGGGCAGAGCCAGCGTGATTCAAACACAGCCCTGGCCAATCAGCATCTCCTCATAGAAATGAATTGAATCAATGAATCTCTATGAGGAAAGCTCAGTGTCTGCATGCAGAGGGAGGAGATACTGAATGTTTGGATGCATTTTAGGCAGCCATGACCCAGGAAGGATCTCTAACAGCCATCTAAGGAGTGGCCAGTAACGTTATCACTAGGCTGTAATGTAAACACTGCATTTTCTCTGAAAAGACAGTGTTTACAGCAAAAAGCCTGAAAGGAATGATTCTACTCACCAGAACAAATTCAATAAGCTGTTGTTCTGGTGACTATAGTGTCCCTTTAAGCATCTGTGTGATGTGCTGGAACAAGAAATCTGACCCATGGAGGCCACACCTCGCAACTTACAGTACTTAAAGGATCTGCGGCTAATGTCTTGGTGCCAGATACCACAGGACACGTTCAGAGGTCTTGTGAAGTCCATGCCTTGACACATCAGAGCTGTCTTGGCAGCATGAGATGGATCTACATTATATTAGGAAGGCTGATCAGTGTTAATTCCACCTTCTGTACGTGGCAGTCAGCATAGAAAGAGTATAGAGAAAGAAGGAGAAACTGAAACAATGGTCATGTTTCTCCTCTTGTAGAGCTGACCTGGCTGTTACTGGATGTTATTCAATGATGTAATTTCCAGATAAGTGACAGTACCCCTTTAACTTGACAGATGAGATATACGCACCTGTAGTTGTTGATGAGCTCTCATCAAAATCATTGCGTTTTCATTCCTTAGCTGATGATTTTCTTCCTGAAGTTTAATAATGTGATTCTTTGCTATTGCTAACTAAAATATAAAGAAGGACATACATATATAAATAAAATCTAATAACGAATACAAAAATGTGTTAGAAAGAACATTTGTACATTGTGTGGGAATCCATTAAGTAATGATTTTTACTTCTATCTTGTTATTCGAGATATCTATGGAAAGTTAGTTCTAGAATAATTATAAGAAAATTGATTGTTTAGGACCACTAAAGTCACCCAGGCAATGACACCTCAGTGGGTGCAGTGTTCCTGTAAACTATTCAACTATTCAAGGTAAAACATTGCTGTTTTGGGGAAACTGAACTGTTTACATTCACGGGTTAAACACACCTGCAGTGGCTGTTACACTGAAAGCCACCGGAGGCACTTTTTCTGCACTGACCGAATAAAAACCCAGACACACAAGCACTTCCTATGGGGAGGCTTGGATGCATATGCAGCACATGTGCATTAGGTCCCCAAAGATTCTAATAAAGGGTGCATTGGAGTGGCCCATGTCGCAAGAGTCCATGTCTCCTCCATGAAGTTGTAAGCAACATCGAGGAAGCATCTGTGCTTTAAAAAGGGTAAGTAAAACGCTTTATTTTCTAAATTTTATGGAATATGCGGAGTGGGTGGAGGACTTATAATGCTAGGAACAGGAACACTAAAGCATTAGGAATACAGGTTTGTATTCCTAACGCTTTCGTGTTCCTTTAAAAAAGAAGGCAGCGGAAGAACTGGTAACTGATTTTTTGCATATTCTTTGGAATCTTTAACATCCTGTGTGTTAATAGGGGAAGAAACCCCATCAGAGGAAAAGGCTGAAAAGGTTGGTGCACAATATGCAGGTGCATTGTCCCAAAAATGGCAAAACTATATATTGTGACTGCACCTTTCACGAGGACAAACTGTAGTGGGAAAGTGGAAGAGTGTTGCACGTTGAAGAGCTACCGAATGCTAAATAAGCTAAATGGCAATAAGCAACAGACAACTGAATTGACATTCATGAGAGCCAGACTCAAAAAACATCACACATTATGGAAAACCTACTAGCCAGAAACCATTTATATGGTCTGTATGTATTTAAAACTAATACAATATAAACAAGTTACCTCTTCAATAAGTTTTGTGTTCGATTTCTCCATTGTGTCGATTCTTGTATGAAGACTGTTAACAGTACCACTAAAATGGCAAAAAAACACAACAAAGAGTATGTAAAATGAACCGTATCAAACACACTCTATATTATAAAGAACATTTGCATGTAATATAGATTCACCATTCATTCAGAAGTGTTTCATCTATGTTTACTTCCAAATACAATACATTGTTCCCAAATCTACTAGAACCACCCAGTCCCAAGAAATATGCACCAAACCATTCTTAATAAATCAGTAACGTATTGGTTCTAATGTGGTTTTCCTGAGAAGGGATTTTGTGTTTATCATTCCTGTAATAGAAACTTCACCGCTTTTAAATGTCTTCCTTATGGAAATGCTCTCATGTCATCTACTGCCAATTAAACAGAGAGAATATGGCTCATGAAGGAGCTTGAAGGCCAGCCTTAACCTCAGAGACTATGGACTCTCGGTTATGGCTGAAATTGGACTGATTGGATACTAGGACTAATCATCTGCTTGTAAATAGTTCATACTTTGTATATTGTGTGGATGGATGGATGTTAAATGTATTAAGTGTCCATTTTGTGTGTTCCCTTCCTCCTCCATCATGTCTGTAAATCTCATCAAAACAACAATGCAGAGGACTTGTTTTTACCACCAGAGCTTTGTCCCATTGTTTCAGTAAAAATTCAAACTCACTGTTAGGCAACTATTTTAAGTCCCCAGCCCTTGTCTTTGTCTTTTCCCACCCTGTCTTATAATCATGGTGCTTCATTCATACTGTAATTTATTTAAATGTGTTAGTGTGACTGCCTGCTACTTACTGTTATTGGTGGACTTGTGTCTCAATAAAGCATTACTGTTCCCCATTTTATCAAGTGTCTGGGTGATATTTGTACAGAGAGTGGAGGAACTCTACCCCTTTTGTTGAATTTCTCTTTCTGGAAAATCCTTGGCACAACTAGTCAGGTAGTGCTGGAAGGAAGGGCACTGACCTTGAGTGGAAAAGGTCTGGATCCTAAGCCTGGGACGAGTCATACTGTGTCTGCTACAATTACATTTATTCAGAGTGATCAAACACATGATTGAAACGTAAGAAAACTTACTTCAGTTGTCTATTGAGTTCTTCAACATAGTTTTTCTGGTCCAAAATTGCTGAAATGTGTACGTTTCTTAACACAAGAAACAGGTTGTTGAACATACAAGAAAGGTAAAAGATTTCAAAGTCACAGCAGTGAATGGACAAACCATGTCAACTAAAATAATAAGGTAATTGAAACATCACTTTCCTGGATTTTTTTTTATTTTTGTTATAGTAATCCCCCCCCCCCCCAGGCTTTCAAATTATATAAGAAATATGAAACATACAAAGTGCAAGAGATACAAAAGTTCCATGAGTTACATTGAGAAGCCTTGCTGTATAGATGGTAGTTGAGAGTTGAGAGTTGTGGACATAGGTCCACACTGAAGTATGAGGCCTAATAGTGAACAGGAAACAGTATACAAAACAAATTCAAAATCTGAACAAAAAGAGAAACAACATATCACGCAGTAGTAAATGAAGTAGCAGGGTTAGTATCCATTTGGTTGAAGAACTGATACAAATTAAGGCAGGTAAATGTGTGTAGTATGTGAGTCAGATTTATACTGTGCAATTTAGTAGTGCAGAAATATACGATGAAATAAATAAGGAGACTTTCCAAGATTACAATAGTATTGAGCAAATATGTTGTTAAGAGATATAAAAAAAAAAAAAAAACTGCCCTCATCTTGGCTCCCTGCCAATCACTGTTATAAATGTTGTATTGGTAGGGATTATTCTCCTTAATTTTCTCCTGCATAAGCAGGAGGTCTATCCATTTCAGAGTTTGGTCAGAAGATATATCATTTTTGGTGACCGTATGCAGCCAAGAAGAAGGATCAATTTATCGAGAGGCCCCCGGAGGTCTTCAACATTGTAAGCTCCTTCTTATGATTTAATTGTTTAAAATGCATTTACAATTCCTTAAAATCTTTTTTTTTACAACATCTATATTGGCTGTGAAATATACTAACAATATGGAATGTGACTATGTGCTATTTGATTCGATGCTGTGGTTGCATTACCATGGTTAAATGTCATGAATAAGAACAAGGTGCAGCAGAATGTTCCATTTATGTATCTGTAAGTATATATAAAATAAATGTGTTTTGGGGTGTGGCATTATGGGAGTCTCTCTACAAGACATGTGCTGAACCGAGCCCAGATAGTTCATTAATCACTTCATTAATTATTAAAATTTAGCAGTCAAACATAAATGTATTCCAAAGCACGGTATAGCAAATGCCATTTAACATTACCTCCCTTCTCTGGAAGTGTCATCTTCTTCTGATTTTAAATATATTGAAAAATCAATCACTCCAACCTGCCACAAAGAAATAACAGGAAATCAAAATTTGAAGAATGCATAATGGATATTTTACCTTCTTCAACTCTAAGTCTGTGTAGAGTTTTAAAGGGCCACTTCGTAATATTAGTCCAAGTGTAATTATCAGAAGTCAAAACCTGCCAACCAACGGCATCTTGCCATCATTCCTTGAGCAATGATGGGACATGGGTGTAAAAGTAATAAGTATATTTTTACTACTACTATTCATTTTTACATATGTCATTTTTAAAGATTCCATTCATTTATAATAAAATTAGAATAATTTCTTAAATCTATTCCTCAGAGGTTATTTGTAATTCCTCTGGTTCCTCCGCTAGACGAGAATATGACTTTTGGTAAATGTTCTCAGAGTAACAGCAAAGGTTTAATGAGCCATTAGGACCTGTGGACCAAATCCATTAACTAACAGGTAGACCAAGAAGCAGTGTTCATGCTAATGACAGCACTACACTACTTCTAGAGGCTAGGGGGAGATGTTAACCATGGTGGAAGTGTTCCAATATAGCAAAAGTATTTGCATGTTACCTTCCACTTTAGAATTACCCTGTTAACTGATTCACTAGAGCTCACGGAACTCTGTACTCTGACACCTTTGATCTTAAGCCACATCTCACATTAAAGATCTATTTGAGTTGAGATGACCAGCACAAGAAAAACACTGGTCCTATTGCCCATTAATGTTAAAAACATATTTAATAAGCAAATAAAAGGTGACACTCTTCAAACAACATACAATACATACATATTATGTATTCAAAAAACTATAGATATGAGCAGAGATATGAGCAGAGATGTAGTTCTTAAACAAATCAAGACTGATCTTCCATAATTAATGGATTCATACATCTACCTGTATCCAGTTAAGGATAAATTGAAGACCTATTCATGGAGAATATTTGAAGATAGCTGAGGAGAACCTCAACCCTATCATGTTGATATCTATTTATTGATATTGAGAACCTTACCCTATCATATTAATATCTAGATCTATTTGAGTTGAGATGACCAGCACGACAAAAACATTGGGTCCTACTGCCCATTAATTTTTAAAAACATATTTAATAAGCAAATAAAAGGTAACACTCTTCAAACAACATAATACAAACATATAATATGTATTTAAAAAAAACTATAGATATAAGCAGAGATGTAGTTCTTAAACAAATCAAGACTGATCCTCCATAATTAATGGATTCATACATCTACCTGTATCCAGTCAAGGATAAATTAAAGACCTATTCATAGAGAATATTTGAATATAGATGGGGAGAACCTCAACCCTATCATATTGATATCTATTTAAGGCTCAAAACTAATGTAACTTATCAGGCATATATATTTCTAGATATCAGTCACTAGAAATCAGCAAAATTGTCAAAATGAGAATAAACTCTGCAAATCTGGATTTCAGCCAAGTCAAGGCTTGGCATGTCATTTTTGTAATGAGTGGACAAAGGTTCCATGGGTGGAGACCAAACTCAGATCACCAGAATGATGAATGCTTATCTGCTGAAATTGTGTAGTATACTTTGGGACATACTTGTGAATCCAGATCTTCTCCTTTCACACAGAGGTTAGCATCAATGACATTTAGTCCCACCAATAGTCCGACTATAACGGTCCCTTCTTCCTCCATCATTACTGCATGATTTTCATAATATTCACTGTAGAGGAAAGTGAAAACTATCCAATTAAACATAGCAATCTATTTTATTCCTTATATGGTAGTCAGTTGTGGGTCAGGTCTGCTGAGTGGTAAGACATGAAGTCTAAACCACTGCTATGCAAAATTCTACTAGCACATGTCCTACAACTTTGCACTTGTGATGTATAATTACACAAAACATAGCACAAACATATATTTCACAAACCAATGCATAGACAACAATGCACAGAAGCAAAGGGATTTTGCCACTGGACATCAAACTACATCCAATTTATAGACATGATTCTAAAATAACTTTAGTTATAATGTCTGAAGCAGGAAGTCAGTTTGTAGTCACCTGGGCCCTGCTTGGCCAATTATATCCACTTATACTTACATAATGATTAATGTGCAGGAAAATATTTAAATGCAATAAACTTAATGGCATAAAAGATTTTATGGTTACAAACCTCAGAAGATCCCTGCGCAAAATTAAGCAACGCAGATAATCTGCCAGCTTTTTCTGCATCATTGACAATCTCAACCAAGCTCTCGCACGACCAAGTGGTGTTCTGGAAAAGAATCAAGATGTTGATGATGAATTAATAAAAAATAATGAAAGATGTATAGTTGACAAAAGTAGTGTTAGATGTTGGACAGGCAACTTCTACAATGTCCATTACTTTTACACAGCTTTCACAGAGCTAGAGATTGCCTATCCACTGTAATAATGGTCAATAAACAACAAGAGGTATCTGGAAATATAGCACACCTGAGTCCCGGTAAGTCTCTAACACTAGCAGCAATCTCTTCTGCCTCTGGACACAATTTCTCAACAATTTCCAGAGGTCCCCATATTGACTTATTGAAACTCAGAAAGGACTTTCTCACTGCAAAAAAAAAACATAAAACAAAACAATATTAATAGTTACCAGGAAAGGAACTGGTTTAGTTCTATGTATGCAGATTGTGATGCATACATAATTTGTTTATTAGCTATATAACAGGTTTTACTAGTTTGTTACTCAAGAACAGGTTTTTTCTATTATTGTTATGTCTTTGTTTGGCAATAATGCCTCTCTTACTCATTTACTGCTTCAAAAAACATTATTCTGTTTTTAGTGCTTGCCCATATCAATATAAATACTTAAGTCTTGAGTTAGCATTAAAAAATAAATTTTGAAATAGATGTAATTATGGAAACATGCATGTATTTATTATAATTTATAGATCACTATACAGCCAAGGAAACGTGTGTTAACAGAGGCTGACCTGTTTGTACTAATTTTAGGAATACCTCATATGCCTAGGATTGTCACAACTGTTTCGCTGTTGCGGGTCATATATAAAAAATAGTACATTCTTGCTAAAAATCAAAAACCTTCAAAGCTTTGATATGTTGAATAAGATTAAAGGGACACTATAGTCACCAGAACAACTACAGCTTTTGTATTTGTTTTGGTGAGTAGAATCATTCCCTTCAGGCTTTTTGCAGTAAACACTGTATTTTTCTGAGAAAAGGCACTGTTTACATTAAAGCCTAGGGATACCTCCACTGACCACACCTCAGATGGCTACTGGAGGTGCTTCCTGGGGAAGTGCTGCACATTGTGTATCTCTACTCTCTGCATGGAGTCACTGAAACTTCCTCATAGAGATGCGTTGATTTAATGCTGATTGGCCAGGGCTGTGCTTGGCTTGTGCTTGCTTTGCCGCTGATCTGCCTCCTTGACAGTCTCAGCCAATTCTATGGGAAAGCATTGTGATTGGCTTAGAGAATCACTTCTGATGACAGATAAGGGGCAGAGCCAGCAGCAGCATACTTGACAGAAAGTAAGATTTTACTATATTTAGGGGATTAAGGGGGGGGGGGGCAGGAGGGATAGTGGGTGATTTAGGGTGTGTTCCTGACCCTATAGTGTTCATATAAGAGACAATTTTAACCCAATGAATACAAGACAAACATTGTACTAAGCTACAAGTATTCCTTTCATAAACAATTGGCGTTTGTTCAACATATTGTCTAAGTGTGATTGCATGCTGGGAAATTTTAGGTGAGGGACCAATACTAATGGCACACAACTATTGGTGCTCACTTGAAGATTTCCTCTATAATAATTTTTTTTGACAATCTCAGCATGACACTTGTAGTGGTGAGTTTTTTTGTCATTCTCTGTAGTGGAGGGTGTGGCGAAAGGGGCCTCACCACTGGTTTTTGGAGGGGCTGATTGCCAGCCTCATGCCTTGGGACTATGGCCCCTGGGAGATTGGGCACTTTAAAAACAGCATTTGGAGCTTATGGACTTCTATTGGACTGTGTATGGCCCTGGTTAAACTTAAACCCCATGGCGATTTTATTCTGTTCGTGGGATCTGAGTGCTGTTCGGATATATTGAGCGCTCAGATCCAAGCTATCTGGGGATGTTCAGTATGATAGGAATTATGTATTTTTATGTGTTTTTACTGTTGTTGTAAATGGAGATATTTTCTGTATGCTGAATCTCCAAAAATCTGTCAGATAAGGATTAGTCAACATTGTCCTATACGGCTGACACATCTGCCACTTGTTCCTTTTTCATGCCACCAAGGACACCTCGGTTACCTCATTCATCATGTAGCCCCTACTACAAACATTTACTAGTCATTTGGCTTGATCCAATACATTTTCAGAAAAAGTCCTGAGTTAATGTCCTGAATCTACACAGACTTAACTTCTTTTGTCTGCTTTAGCTTATGCCCCTTTTTCTGTCATAACTTCCCTCACACAAATCTTCAGTATTTATGGAATTCCTTCACTCACTCCATTACTCCAACATTCTACAGCGTTGATCAGTATCTGAAAAAACACTACACAAATAAATATATAACTTACCAACCGAATGATGTCCTATGCATTCCTTAAACATGACATTTTGTTCTACTTCAGCTATCTCATCAATCCAAACTTCCTTTTATACTTCAATCATATCTTCGGTTTCCATCACCTCCAACCGCACACTAGACTGCAAGCTCACTAGAACAGGACCCACATTCCTTGTGTACCCATGAATATTTGATATTATATTTCATATAATGTTCCCCAATGTAATATTTAACTTGAAGCACACTCTGTAAAAGTTAATAACTAATATTTTTATATATTATCTGGACATTCTTGCTTAGCAATTCGTTTTGAACATATTGATGTTTCCAGTTGTTCCAAAACAGCCCTAAAGGTTATATATAAATATCAAAGTACTTATGCTAACCCAAGACAGCCGCTTACATTTCTATGCAACATTATGCAAGGTGTCGATCAATACAGATCAAATTAATGCTATTAATGTAATAACCTTATGTTGTGCACTTCATATGGCAGGATGTAATGAATGATTATAATTATTTGAAATATACGAAGGAAGAAATCTGCACAGCTATAATACGCAGACCTACTAAACCTGGGGCTGGCTAACTCCCATCCATGCAGTAGAAAACAGGCACTCAAGGTCACATGTGCAGAAGGCAAATGAAGCAACGTTTCAACCTACACAAATATCTTTGTCAGCTTGACAAAGACCTCTGTGGAGGTGAAAACGTTGCTTCATTTGTCGGTTATTCCAATAAAGCTGCTGCAAAAGTGATCTTGAGTGACTGGATAACACTGTTTTCTTGTATAATTATTTGAAAGTCATTTTTCTGCAAAGGGCAATGTACTCCATACATGGACAATAAATAGTCAATATTCTTTCATAATGGGCAACGTGCAATATATAAATTATTAACACAACAGATGTTTATTCTTTTGATATTACTTGCAAAATATTACCATATATGTTTTAACTGACGACAGTTGGCAATTAGAAAAAAAAATTTGAAAGTCAAATACATTCAACCTTGAGATTTACCCAAATGAAAGTAGCAATAGAACAAGTTATGGGTATGATTAAATATAAAAGCATTGATTAGATAATTTCCCTCTGAATACAGAGATAGCTCTAAGTAAGGTTCTCCGAGTAGACACAACTGTAACATCCCACATCAATGCAGAGCGCATACCTTTAAGCCCGTGCTTCAGGCAATGTTCCATTACAACAAAGAACTGCTGTAGAGGAGGGTAGTCTGTATCCAGAGTACGGCCAAAGCTTAGAGCCGATTCAATGAGACCTTTTATACTGAGCTTAGCCATGTTCAACAGATTTGTCCTCTCAACAACCGCTGGATCTCTTATAACTAGCAAAAAATTAAAAAATAATAATCATATCAATAAAAATGTATTTAAAATCATATGATTACAACCAAATTGAAACCATGATTGGCTGTCCAGGCATTTATTTTTCTTTCTTGTGGGATGTGGTATAGTATGTTTGGAACCAAATTGTAAATACTTAGAGTTTGGGATTACGATTTTGGTTTATTCTTAGATAAGTGATCTGTGTATGTGCACAATTATAATACAAATATTGTTTAAATTTTGAACTGATTTAACACAATTCAATAGAACATGGTCAGTTATTAAGCTGTTGTAATAGCAGCTATAAGATTGACTGAGTTGTATCCTGATACGCAGATATAGGGATAAATTATAATCCACATAAATTGAATTCCCCCTTATTTCAAATTGGAAAGGACGGACTAAAAGGGTATTATATAAAGGAAACAAAAAAACAAACCAACAACAAATAATTAGAAAAAGCGGAAAAAAAAACCTTTATTGGGGTTGTAACATACAGTGTTTTTGTAAACAAATGTTAAGTGCAATTTAATTAACATTTATTTAATTCTAGCCATGACATTTAAGATAAAGCAATATCTGTGATATTGTTTTTGTAACCATCATCAAGCAAAGGTCATGGGTGATGCTTTGTGCTAGCAGGGTTTTTCAAGAACAGATTAATGTCTCAGACTTCCAGTGCTGACCACTAAGAAAGGAAATGTTCCTGGTCAATCAGAATTCTTTGTTACGATGCCAAACCCCTTGCTCATTACAGTAACAGCTTGTAACAGTGTCCACATAACTGGCTACATTGGAGCATGCTATTTTATGTCCTCTTTCCATATATTTTCTCTAAACAAAGAAATGATTCTACAAACTCAAGAAATAAATAATTAAATATCTTGGCTTCTGCTCCAGCTGAAAATACCAGTTTGGCAAGAATAAAGGGGAAAAAACATTTTCTCATATTTTATTCTTATTTCTTTGTAAATACTAGAGAAAATTACAATCCATAAATGTAAAAAGTTGGCAGGCACAGAGTTATGGGTAGAGTATACCAACAGCATGAACTTGAACTAGACTGGACACCACATTTTTAAATTGTGCAGGTCTCCCAGAATTCACCTCTGCAAACGACAGAAAATTATTGTGGGAGAATTGCAGACATGACATTATTGCTCCACTTTGGGGTTGTATTTCTTAGGTGCTAGGTTAAATGGATTGGAAGTAAAATGCATTACATACCAGGTTGAGACACCACGGCTGCTGTTATATGAGAGACCCAGCTTGCAGGATTCCTCTGTGCTCCATACTGAGCCATTTTATTGATTTTGGAGTTATTTTTAATCTGTATACGGGAAGAACAGTCAAGCGGTTAGGAAGGCAACAACATTTTCATTGAAGCAAACCCATGTCAAGCAAAGAATAATTCCTGCAGAAGAATGCACATTGCATGGTCGCACTACATGAGAGTGTAGAGTGTGCAGAATCAATCACCAAATGTCTAAAAGAATGTGCAGATCACACTGTGTTTGTAATAGGAAGCTCCTGGGATGCACACTGTTGGGTGAATTGCAGCCTATCTTGTTCACTATACAAATATTGCATCTTTTTATCACTTCATCTTGCTTGTCTAATTTGACTATTGGTAACTATGGTAACAGTGGTACCTCTCTACCTAAAGAACCTTGAAAGCTTGCACACTAAACACTCAACCTGACCCTAAAAACTGCTAGTTGCAGTATGCCATGTAAAAATACAGTTGTATAAGCTTCAGGAATGTTTGGGAAGAGTGTGCAAGGAGGGAGTGTTATTGTATGTATCTCTATACTCTCCATCTATCTGTCTGTTTGTATATCTATCTATCTGTCTATCTAGCTATCTATCTATCTGACAGATTTTGAGTTTGGGGATGTGTATATAAGTAGTTCAGTGTAATGGGAGGGATTTGCATGTATTAATGAGTTTGTGTAATGTAAAGGTGTATGTCAGTGTTTTTGTGTGAAATGGGATGTGTTGATTTGGGAGTGATTTAACAGTTAAAGAAAGGCAGCACACATAAGGGGAGAGTTATCAAAGTGCTGTGGGAACAGCAGGCAAATTCTGTCAGTGACTTCTCTTTTATGTCTTTTCACTGCATTTCAAATCAGAACACTTTGATAAATCTTCCCTTGTGTCTAGAAATTTCTAGAAGGTTAGTATGATGTGGACCCTTATGTTTTTTTCCCACTGCACTAAACCACCAGGACTGCACACTATTTGAGTGCTGGGGAGAGGTTCTCACTAAAACAACTAAATTAAGATAAAATAAACATATTTTAGTTAAAATGGATATATCCCATTGATCTCAAAAGCTCCAGTACTGGTATGTGATATGTGATGTACTGCATTTAAATTTAACCTAAGGCTCCTCTAATTTTTGGTAGTGGACATTTCCTCACCACTCCACACACAACCAGCTCCAACACCACCACTTCTGTTGACTTTCTGACTTAACCCAAATTCAAGTTCAGGAACCCTCTGATCACCAACATTCTAAAGGAACTGGATGTACCATTTCACCAGATAACTGCATCCTGAATTTCCAAAATAACTGGGGGGCCTACAGCCCACCCATGGGCTTCAGAAATAGTTCTAGAATGAAGGCTACTCCCCATATATACCATTAAAGTAGCAGCAAGACAGTCATGTTTACAAATCACATCTTCTACCAAAAAGCCTGCATTGCTGGGGAGAGTATCTCTCTTATCCCTAAACAGGGGATTCATTGATGGCTGATAAGGCAGTGTCCAATTTACCCTGATATTAGAGGTGGTAGTGCTTGCAGGTGATTGCACTCGTTATATCCAGACAGCAGGAGGAAACATACCTTGTTCCTAAAAGCCGGCTCTCAGACAGCCGCCACCTTCCTCCTGTTTGTTGGGAGTCCGCCCATAGACTGGACGCACTGCGCACGCGTGTAGCATCATCCCCCTGACAGCATCCCATTCCACGCAGCCACAATGGGGCCCACGCTACTCATTTTCCGGAACTGCTCCGAGAATAGCAATGATGCGCTGCCGTGTGATGTCAATGGGCCGGCGGCTCTCCAAGGTGCTGAAAGCAGGGATTGTGGCTGCATGGCCGCCTGGCTCACACTGGGGCTTTGTATTGACTCTCACATTATATGTGGGTGAATTGACCTGCAGTGGTGATGGTGATGTGAGAGGTGTCTGTGCTGTAGGGAGGTGCTGCAGATGTGATGATGATAATGGGTGTGATATGTAAAATATGTCTCATGGATACATTCAGGCCCATTGGACCCTGGTATTTAAAGGGACAGTTTAGGCAACATAAGTCACCATAACTACTTCATCTAAATGAAAATGTTATGGTGCCAGGAGTTCCCCTTTAAAGTCAGAGCAAGCCAATGGGAGGGTGCAGGAACAATTATGCTCCCTACAAAGTGATCATATCAATTCAGTGCCCCTCCAGTGCAGCCAATGTGCCCTGCTGGCCAGCTCACACATGGATGGAGGGAGGGGGTGGTGAGTCAAGAAATCTTGGATAAAATGTGTTAGTTTAAGGGGATGTAGTGTGTGTTTGTAGGGGATGTAGTGTGTGTTATGTAGTGTAGGTGTATATGTAATCCAGTGTGTGTAGCATGTGTGTGTATAGTGAATCCAATATGTGTGTAAGGGATCCAGTTTGTGTGTATAGTGGACGCAGTGTGTGTATGGGATATAAGTGTTTGTGTGTATAATGGATTCAGTATGTGTGTAAGGGATGTGGTGTGTATAGTGGATAGTGTGTGTGTAAAGGATGAAGTTTGTATGTATAGGGGAAACAGTGTGTGTATAGTGAATGCAGTGTGTATAAGGCATACAGTACGTGTGTGTATCGTGGATGCAGTGTGTGTGTATCGTGGATGCAGTGTGTGTATCGTAGATGCAGTGTGTGTGTATCGTGGATGCAATTTGTGTGTATCGTGGATGCAATTTGTGTGTATTGTGGATGCAATTTGTGTGTATCCTGGATGCAGTGTGTGTTTATCGTGGATGCAGTGTTTGTGTATCATGGATGCAGTGTGTGTGTGTGTATCGTGGATGCATTGTGTGTGTGTATTGTGGGTAAAGTATGGATAGGGCATACTGGATGCACTGTGTGTGTATACTGGATGCAGTATGTATGTGTATCGTGGATAAAATGTGTATAAGGCATACAGTATTTGTGTGTTTGTGTGTATACTGAATGCACTGTGTGTGTATAGAGAATGCAGTGTGTATGTGTATCGTGGATGCAGTGTGTGTGTATCGTGCATAAAGTGTGTATAAGGTATACAGTATGTGTGTATACTGGATGCACTTTGTGTGTATCTTGGATGCAGTTTATGTGTATCATGGATGCAGTGTGTGTGTGTGTAAGGGACAAGTTTAGTGTGTGCGTTTGTGGGGTGGGAAAGGGGCTGTGGTCTGTGGGGGATGAGAGTGGAACATTTTTTCCCCCGAGCTTTATTTTATGATTTCATCATCCCTGACTCTCACCTCCAACCAGGAAGGGGGGACACAGCATTCCCTGGTGGTCCAGGGACTCTAACTTACTCCTCTTAGATGCAGGCTTCTCATGCAAGCCCTGGTATAGTGTAGCATCAAAGCATTGCCATGGTTACCTGCGCCAACGCTCTGCATGCAGGCTTGCAAGAGAGAACACCCGGCAGATGAGCATACAGAGAGCCTCCTGGGCTCACTCGCCATGCAAACCTGCACCCTTCGATCTCCCTTCCCTGCAGCTAAATTGTTATAGATAGATATAGATCTATGTATAGTGATATCCGCTATATATGTACATTTACTATATGAGGCCAAGGCCCCATACAGGTGTATGGCCTGTACCTCTGCAAATTACAGACTTAAGCAACCTTTAGCAAATAATTATTTAATGGGTGGATCCATTTTAACGGACAGTTTAGGAAAGAAAGAGTCCTCTTCACCTTGGTTCTGCGCACATTAACTTCTTTGTCATTTATTTGCTATTTTGTATTCACATTAAAAATGAAAAGTATTGTTGCTGTATAGATTACATTCATTCTGCATTGCATAGATGGGGGGACCATGGCTTTGAATGCCATATTGCACAGATGATGATGTCACCTGTGCTATTATTTCTCAGAATGAATAGAGAATAAAGCATACATCACCTAGAAGCAGTTCAGGGGACCCCAATTTAGGGCAGAACTGAGACATAAATTTTTGACTGCTGTCTGAGATTAATGAGAGTTACGGTCTTTGGTAGTGGCTATTTTAGGTTCCGTGATTAAAATGACAGCAGATGCCACTATGGAATACAACTCCTACTAATATAGGGCAGCCCGGTACATGTATGTCTTGGATCTACCTAAGATTAGGGCCTCGATGCATTAGTTCCTATGGTGAATAATTGCATGCATGATGTCAAAATCTGTGCATGATGGTGTTTGAAGATTTGATCTACCCTTTAATACAACAGGCGGATCATGTTATTTTTTATATTTTATTAAAGAGATATTTTTACAATAACAATAAGTTTTACAATGAAAAAAAAATACCATATATGGTATATATAAAACGAGTAAATATCAGTGTCTCCAGTCCATATATAAATCAATGACGTTAGTATTGAAAAGGCACTTCATAGTCAATTTTCATTGTGATTTATGTATTCAATTAAAACTTCTTTAATAGTAGGGATTGTAGGTGACCTCCAATATCTGGGGATGACAGTAGTAGCAGCTAAAAGGATATGTCCAATTACAATTTTTTCAATAGTATTAGGGAAGAATTTGAATAAAGCCAATTCTGAAGTGAGTACAGGAATAATAGAATTTACTTTTTGGATTAATTTATTTATTTCCTGACAAAATTGTGTGAGTTTAGGACAATACCAAAAAACATGTGAAAGAGAGCCAATCATTACACAGTTTCTCCAACATTTATCTAAATATCTGGAGTTCATTTTATTAAACCTATAGGAGGATAAATACAATCTATAAATTATTATTTTTTTAATAATCTTTTATTAAAGAAATTTTTAGTATATCATATATGACAAAAATGAATAACAATACAAAGAAGTATTCAATTAATGTGTTACAATCAGACAGTTGATATAAAATCTTCTTATTTATGCAAAATAAATCGAATACACAAAGAAAAGCAAAGATAAATACAAAAACCAAGACAACACAAGTAAACCACCACCTATACAGAGCAGGAGTGCTTTCTTACTAATATATCAATATTCCCTTCTTTTTCTCTCTTTTTCCTTTCCCTTCTTTTTTTTTAATTTTTTTTCTTCCTTTCCCTTTCTTCTTTTCTTTTTCTCTTCTTTTTTATATATAAATGAGAAAAATGGGGAAAAGGGACCAGGAATAAAGGAAGAAAAAAAACCCAAAATGGGATGTCTTATATAAAGACCGCCCAGAGGGTAAATACCCAGTCCAATCTCAACAGTAGTGTAGTTGCCAAAAAATAAAAAAGCCTTTATTGAAATCTATTAAAAAACCTGGGTAATCAGTGATGGACAGAATAATATAGGGAGAAATATGTATGGTAGGAACAAGGCTAATCAAGAGCCAACCCTCACAAGAAACGGAGAGGGGATAGAAGGCAATATGTACCCCCATACATAACTCAGGTAACAAAGCAGTAGGAAAGAACAGGGAAAGGGAGAAACACACACTCCCAACCAAACAGTAGTGCTATGCTAATACCCTATCTCCTATAAAACACCTTCGTGGGTGTTCTAATCTAAATGCTGTCATAACATCTGAAGCCCCAGGTTACACACACATACTAGAAAAACATAAATGAAAAGGTGCTCAGAGCAAAGTGCTCAAGAGAGTATTAAAAACACAGAAGAACCCGACGTACGTTTCGGCGTGACCACACGCCGTCCTCAGGGGTATCAGCAGTGAGCAAAAAACTGTCCGGGTGGTAAATTTATACCTTAAGCTCATAAGCTTTATTGTAATCACCTGTGATTGTGTCTAAATTGCTCCGGTCCTCCTGTGAATGGGGCTGTGGGGGTGTGGTGTAACACACCATAGTGTCAGCCCACATTTCTATGTCAGAGGTAGCCAGAACAGAAATCAGGTGAAAGGCAAATACGTTCATGAGTATTATTTGTAAATATGAGTCTATTAAACTATCCAATGTCCAACTAGAACTGGATAAAGAGATTGAGGCGGTCCAGGGTTTTAAAGTAGAACCACAATTTGAATCACTAGAGATAAAACTCAAATCCAATCTGGACAAATTCTCTCACATTATAAAAGTGAGGAAACACCAGAAGTATATGAGAGATATAAAGGACTTTGAACAAGGTAGAATTTACCGTTCTTTTAAAAAGAGATCTAAAGTAGACTCTGACCAATTCAGTACATCTGAGTACGAATCAACCGATACTGAAACTGAAAAACCTCAAACCCCTACTCCTAGGAATCCAACTAAAAGTATTCTAAAAAAGGGGGTGGATTTTTTAGGATTAAGACAAGCGGATCTAACTCAGGGTCCGCACACCAGATACAGGGGCAGAAGTCAGAGACGACGCAGGGAATGATAGCATCCTCTCTGCGTATTATTAATCTCTCTGATACCATCCTTGGTCAGACCGAACTTAGCGTATTGGAGAAGGGTCTTTCATTCGTACCCATTCCAACATTCAGCAAGTTCAACTGGACTAAGGATGTAAACCTTTTTGTGAGAAAGCTTGCCTTGTATAAATACCATGCAGTACGTAAAGAAACTAAGGCCCAAAGCTTGGGTCTATCACCAAATGACTTAGAGTGCTTAGACACTCTGGTGGAATTACTTAACTCTGGAGATGGTACTATACAATCTGATATACCACATACTAATTTGAAACCCAAGAGTAAGTTTACCCCTCATTTTCAGGATTATAAAAATTTGGAGGTATTTTTGGAAATGGTTACTAGGGAAATAGATAAGACAAAAATGGATGATTTTTATCTATCCCCTAATGGCAACCTTAATACTCAGGAACTAATAGCCCTGAAAAAACTACAGAGCTATACAAATTTGATTTTCAAACCCTCTGATAAAGGGGGCAATGTGGTGATACTTGACAGAGACCACTACATTCGTATAGCTGAAAGACTTTTATCCGATAAAAATACTTACCGCATACTAGCAAAAGATCCTACAAAAGCGTTCCAAGCTGAGTTAAAAACTATGCTTACTAAGGCTGTGAATCATCAACTCATTAATCAGGATGAGTTTGAATTTATGTGCACCAAACAACCATGTCTATCTACTTTTTATTGCTTGCCTAAAGTGCACAAATCACTAACCGATCCGACCGGTAGGCCGATAGTTTCTGGTTGTGATAATCTAACTCAGAATGTAAGCATTTATGTGGATAAGATTCTGTCCCCAGTAGTACAGAAGCTACCATCTTTCCTTAGAGATACTAAACAAATGTTGCATTTATTGACCAACCTTACTTTACCTCCAAACGCTATCCTGTATAGCCTTGACGTGGAGGCCCTTTACAGCTCAATTCCTCATAACCTAGGTATTAAACATACCCGTCAACTATTAAATCTTGAAACTGACCTACCTGAACATTATGTGAATTTTGTAATGGAATTACTTGAATTCATTTTGACTCGTAATATCTTTCTGTTCAATGGCAAAATCTTCCACCAGACCACTGGTACAGCTATGGGGACGACTTGTGCGCCCTCATATGCCAATCTCCATCTAGGCTGGTGGGAAAGGTGTATTAGGGCAGATCCTAAGCTGAAATCATACACTAATCAGATCTTCTATTGGAAAAGATACATCGATGATGTGTTTTTGATTTGGCTTGATACATCAGAGAGATTCAAAGAATTTGTATGTCTGCTGAACAGCAACGATTTTAACTTACGATTCACTAGTGAAGTAGGGGGTCAAAACCTTTGCTTTCTAGATCTAGCACTACAGGTATCTAAAGAAGGCAAAATTGAAACAACCTTGTACAGAAAGAAGACAGCCTCAAATAACCTGCTATGCTGGTCTAGTCATCACCCCATATCACTCAAATCCGGTATCCCAATAGGCCAATATTTGAGACTTCGACGAAACTGCTCCACGATGGAGGAGTTCAAATTAAAAGCAAATGAGCTGCGTCACATGTTTAAGGCCAAAGGTTACCCAAATAGGGTTCTAAAAAGAGCCTATCTGAGGGCAATCCACACTGAACGGGAAACCCTAATTACAGATGGGGGTCGTAAGACTGAGGAAAATAAAATACGCTGCATAGGTACATATGATGCAGGATGGGACACTATGCTGAATGTCTTTCAAAAATTCTGGCCTATCCTCCAATCAGATAAGCATTTGAAGGAAATTCTGCCATCACTCCCTTCAATTACAGCACGGAGGGGCAAAAACTTGAGAGATATCCTAGCACCTAGTCACCTCTCAACTACGTCCCCGTCAGGTTATTTTCAAAAATACCTACCAATAGGTTCTTTCCAATGTGGTCACTGCAGTGCATGCCCGTTTATTACCAAGAGGGCCTCTGACAGCAAGGGCTTAATGAATTTCAAACCACGTTCCTTCTTTAATTGTAACACAACAGGAGTAGTTTACCTACTGTCTTGCTCCTGTGGCCTAAAATATGTAGGCAAGACTTTTCTCCACTTCAGGCTAAGGATACGTGAACATGTAAATTCTGTCAAGAGACGTTTGGAAACACCCGTCTCAAGGCATTTACATCTACATCACAATCACTCCTCGGCAGGCATCCGGTTCATGGGTCTTGAACATGTACCACAGCCTCCTAGGAAAGGAAACTGGGACCTAAAACTAAGACAAAGAGAGGCGTTTTGGATTTACCATCTCAAAACGCTATCTCCCCTGGGGCTAAATGAAGGGTTTTCATATTCCCCGTTTATTTAAAGTACTGCAATAATTCTGATAATAAATGGTATCTTAAGTTATGTCTGTATATATGTATATATTCTTTATTTATTTCTATTATATTTGGTGTTCATATGTCCATTAATTTTACCTGTATTATAGGTCTAAGAGTTTAGGGGTCTGTTTTGTGTTGCATAAACTAATGGGTTACTATTTACAGTGGCAATAAAAGAATTGTCGGCTTCTGTGTATGACTGCCCATATAGCCATTGTACTTATCCCTTACTGGTTCACAACGGTTATAAGTTGTTTCTTTAATTGTACTAAAGCTACACAATACAGCCATAAGAATCAATCCACACACTTGACCTATATGATACAATTTGGACATTCCAAGGGTTAACTGTTAAGCTATGGATACTGCCTTTTAGATATAGTAAGTATCCATTTATATCTGTTCCGGGCGGGGCACTCAAAGGGTTAATTGCCTTTCACCTGATTTCTGTTCTGGCTACCTCTGACATAGAAATGTGGGCTGACACTATGGTGTGTTACACCACACCCCCACAGCCCCATTCACAGGAGGACCGGAGCAATTTAGACACAATCACAGGTGATTACAATAAAGCTTATGAGCTTAAGGTATAAATTTACCACCCGGACAGTTTTTTGCTCACTGCTGATACCCCTGAGGACGGCGTGTGGTCACGCCGAAACGTACGTCGGGTTCTTCTGTGTTTTTAATACTCTCTTGAGCACTTTGCTCTGAGCACCTTTTCATTTATGTTTTTCTAGTATGTGTGTGTACCTGGGGCTTCAGATGTTATGACAGCATTTAGATTAGAACACCCACGAAGGTGTTTTATAGGAGATAGGGTATTAGCATAGCACTACTGTTTGGTTGGGAGTGTGTGTTTCTCCCTTTCCCTGTTCTTTCCTACTGCTTTGTTACCTGAGTTATGTATGGGGGTACATATTGCCTTCTATCCCCTCTCCGTTTCTTGTGAGGGTTGGCTCTTGATTAGCCTTGTTCCTACCATACATATTTCTCCCTATATTATTCTGTCCATCACTGATTACCCAGGTTTTTTAATAGATTTCAATAAAGGCTTTTTTATTTTTTGGCAACTACACTACTGTTGAGATTGGACTGGGTATTTACCCTCTGGGCGGTCTTTATATAAGACATCCCTTTTTGGGTTTTTTTTCTTCCTTTTTTCTACAATTTCCAGGGTTACCCCCTTTTACCAGTCCAGGTGACCTCTATACTCTGGAGGCTCGGCATTGGGATACGGGAGTGTCTTTTCCTCCCCTCCCACTTTCCAGCCTTTTGAGTTTCCTTTTTCTTGGGACCAGGAATATATTACCATTAAATGTTGGAAAGTTTTTGAAGCCAATTTGAATACCATATAGTTTTTTTTGAAAGAGCAGTGGTATTAGTTATAATATCTTTTTCCATAGTTAACTGAAATATAATTTGATCAAACGGGATTTCTGGAATAGATTAGAAGACTTCCATTGTCTGGCAATATTAATTTTGACAGCAACAAAACAATGTATAACAAACGGTTTGACTAATAGACAGTCCCACCATAAATGCATATATGTGCCCAAACATGAGCCGCACCTCCAACAAGTGGAATCATATGTTTCATACATTCTTGTCAATCCTGTTGGAGTAAAATACTACCTTAAAATGACATTCAGTCAGAGTTAAACAATGTATATATTTATTTACATTAGTTAAAGAAGTTAGCCAGTCATTAAGGGGAATCACTAGATTGAATTCCTTCTCCCAGATGTTAATCAATTTATGAGGTATCATCCTAGATTCATCAAGCAAAGAGATAGCAACAGAGGTAACCTTAGAAACCGTTCAATGGCGAAATAGAGTTTCCAATTTCTTAGCCAACGGGAAAGAAGTTGGAATAACACATTTCTGTATGAAATGTTTGATTCGCAGATAAGTAAATATCTCTCTGGGAGAAATATGTATATTATCAACAATCTGTTGAAAAGACTGGATATTATATCTTTGCATAATATCTGAAATAGTTAATGAATCAATATTTCCCCAAGAAGTCAATGAGAAGTCCTCTATAATACACTCCAAAATATTAAGATTACAAGATCTAGGTATTAGTTGTACAATATTCAAAATTTTCTTAATTTCTGCCCAGTCTTCTAGCGTATAAAACAACGTGGATGGAATCCAAATATTTGACTCTTTCAGAATCTCTTTGAGATCCAGCCACATATAATGATACAGTCTAGAAGAGTGGACAGCTTCCGACTATCTATAAATTATTTTGAAATGGTTTTCCCAATGATTGGAGCACTGTGTAACTCCTTTATCATTAAAGGGAACGATACTGGAATACACACATAAATAAATAATGTGTATTTATGTGTGTATTCGAGGATAGTTCCCTTGAATGATTAAGTGTTTATACTCTGTATTTTTCATTTATTCATTTTTTTGGTGTCAGTGGAGCTTGACATACATTAATATGTTTCATGTATTGACCCTCATATTCCAATATGTATGATTCTGTTTTGTATATGAGGTAATACTATTGTGTGAGTTATCACATTTATTTAATATATGTATGTACTTTCTTTATTTCTTTCTCTATTTCCCTTTCTCTGACCGGTCCCCCCTGGGGTTGTGAGTCGATCAGGTGGAACGCAAATGCGTTCCAGCCATTGAGAGATGACGCAATAAGAAGGAGTTTAGTTTTCCGGATTGGTGGAACACATATGCGTTCCACAGAGGCTCGGCGGAAGTCCTTATATGGACCTGGAATTTAGACTACGCGGAACAGGTGATACCAAGCGCACGGATTGGCTGATGAGAAGCTGAACCCGGCGAGAGGGACATTTAAAAGAAGACTGAACATATGAGACTTTTATTGTGATTTATTTTATCTGATTGTAACATTTGTTTTTACTGAATTTTTCCTGATGAAGTCTATTGTTTAGACGAAATGCGTAGAACTGTTTGCATTATTGCCTGTAATTCCTGTCACCTGCTGCTTCCATTTATCATTTTGGAAAGAGGGACACAAATATCTGATGGTCTTCTTGTAAGTGTTTCCAATAAATTGTGTTTTTTATAACATCAACAGTTCTATACTATGTTCAGTTTTTCTTTTTACATGTATACTTGAGAAATAAGGAACTTCTTCACAAGACCTAAAAGAAACTCTGATGGGCTTGAATTTCTCCGTCATTTTGTGAGTGCAATATTTATAGTAGGGACTACTTTATCTAACTGTGTTTCCCTATAAATTATTTTGCTTTCTGTTTTTTCTAGGTGTATCTTATATTTTGTATTTATTTGTGAGGATTTGAGGAATCCTTTGTTACAACCTAGAATATAAGGGAAGTAATTAACCTTATTTTTATTGTTACATATTGCTGCACTTGGGTGGTCTATTGAGACACATATATTTATTAGGGTTATGTAAGTATGTTTTTTTCCAAATTGCATAATGCATTTTCTGTATAATTTTGATCTAAATTTTGAATGGAAAATGTATCTTGTATTTTGTTAATAATTAATTTGTGTTCTAATTGCATATTATCTTCTAGACCAAATTTATCTTGAATTGTCATAAAAGACATTAAAGAATTACCAAAGAAAAAGTCATTTTAAGAGGTCACTTTTTACAAAAAGCATCTTATCTGAAAAAGTCTAATTCTAAAAATTTAAGGGAGATGGAAAGAGAGTTATGTCATTTAAATTCGGCTAACCAATTTGGTTCATCTCCTTCCCTATTAGCAATGATAAAATAACTAAAAATTAAAATTGGAGCAATACAAATAGAAAAAACAGCTTTCATGATAAGATGACTTAAACAGCTGTTTTATTCAAAAGGCAATAAGGACTCCTCCCTGCTCGCAACTAAACTTAGACAGAAAATAGCGCAATCACAAATTGCATATTTGCTGGGAGAGGATGGTAAAAAGATTACTCATCCAACTGAAATTAGTAACCAATTTGCAAACTATTATAAATCATTATATAATTTGGCTTCTGATCCAAAAACCATACAACACAATACAGAAAAAAATAAAATCCTTTTTAGACAAAATTGACTTACCCCAAGTTGCCCCAGATAAATTAATTTTTTTAAATTTGGCCGTATCCCAACAAGAGGTATTAGCAGCTATAAACAAAATTCCAGGTAGTAAAGCACCAGGACCAGATGGAATTACCATGATATATTACAAATATTTTTCCAAAATACTTTTGCCATATGTAACTAATTTATTTAATACATTCTGGACAGAAGGAAAGATGCCAGGGGAGTCCTTGTACATTCAAATCATCACTCTGCCAAAGTCAGAGAAAAGTCAGGACCGCTGTGTCAACTTTCGGCCTATTTCTTTAATAAATAATGATATCACAGTGGGCTAATTCTCCCACCCATGTGGGAGACCTAATCTTCTCTTATGCATGTACAGTATCTAATATCTGCAACACTCCATTTCCTCTCTCTGATCACCACCTCTTATCATTTACTCTCGTGTACCCCCTCCCCCAACAATCTCAGCCTAACCCCCCTCAACTCAAAAGGGACCTTAATTCTCTTGATCTCCAGCAGTTGTCAGCTGATATTGATTCACGACTGCTGTCCATCCCTTCCCTCTCCTATCCTTCACTGGCCATCTCCACATATAACACTACCCTCACTTCTGCCTTGAACGCTGCAGCACTGCTTCAAACAAGCACCTCGAGGAGGACCCGCCCCCAACCATGGCATACTAAATCAACACGCTACCTGCAAAGATGCTTCCATTCCTGGAGGAAGTCTCGCACCCAGTCAGACTTTCTCCATTATAGATTCATATTGTGTTCATACAGCGCAGCCCTTGCCCTTGCCAAACAGTCCTACTTTTCCTCTCTCATTAGTTCATGCTCCCGCAATCCCAGGCCTCTCTTTGACACCTTTAATTCTCTTCTTCGCCCTGCTGTGGTCACCCCCCAAACTACCCTTACTGCTGATAACTTTGCATATTACTTTACTGACAAGACTGAACAGCTAAGGAAAGAATTCTCCCCTACTTGCCATTCTGTTTCTCAACCACACATAGATCATGCCTTTCCTACCCTTCAGACATTCTCCCCAGCTACTGACCAAGAGGTGGCTGCTCTTCTCTTTTCTTCTCGCCCCACCACTTGCCCGCTCGATCCTGTCCCATCTCAGCTTATTAGATCTCTCTCCACTTGTCTCGTGCCTTCCTTAACGCACATCTTCAACTTCTCTCTCTCTTCTGGCATTGTCCCTGCTGACCTTAAACATGCCACTGTAGTATATACTATACTACACTAAAAAAAAATCCCTCGACCCGTCTACCCCCTCTAACTATCGTCCCATATCCCTGCTCCCTTTTTCCTCAAAGCTTCTGGAAAGACTTGTCTTTACTTGTGTGTCTCATTTCCTCAATTCCAACTCTCTCCTTGACCCTCTTTAATCTGGCTTCTGCCCTTTCCACTCTACTGAGACTGCGCTTATCAAAGTTACTAACGACCTAATCGCAGCTAAATCCAAAGGCCACTACTCCATACTAATTCTTCTTGACCTCTCTGCGGCCTTTGACACCGTTGATCATGCCCTCCTTCTTCAAACTTTTCAATCACTTGGTCTCTGTGACTCTGTCCTCTCGTGTTTTTCCTCTTATCTCTCCCAACGCTCATTCAGTGTCTCCTTTTCTAATGATACTTCCTCCCCTCATCCTGTCTCTGTTGGAGTCCCCCAAGGCTCTGTCTCTATACTGCCTCTCTTGGCAAACGTATTACTTCTTTTGGATTCCACTACCACCTGTACGCTGATGACACCCAGTTATATCTCTCCTCCCCGGACCTCCCCCCTGTCGTCCTGCAACGTGTCACTGCTTGCCTTTCTTCCATCTCTGACTGGATGTCCTCCCGCTTTCTGAAACCCAATCTCTCTAAAACTGAGCTCCTTATCTTTCCTCCTCCTAATACTGATCCTCCTGTTTCGCTCTCCCTTGAAGTTTGTGGTACCCACATCAGTCCATCCTTGCAAGCGCGCTGTCTTGGCGTCATACTTGAGTCTGGCCTCACCTTTGAGCCTCACATCCAGCATGTTGCCAAATCCTGTAGATTCCATCTTAAAAACATAGCCCGCATCTGCCCCTTTCTAACGCAAGATGCTACCAAGGAGCTTGTCCATGCTCTAGTAATTTCCCGCATGGATTATTGTAACCCTCTCCTGATTGGTCTTCCCAAAAGCCGTACTGCACCGCTACAGTCCATAATGAACGTTGCTGCCAGACTGATTTTCCTCTCTCACACCTCACCCTTCTGCCAGTCCTTACATTGGCTTCCTGTATGCTATAGGAGTCAATTCAAGGTACTAATTCACACCTATAAAGCACTGAACAACTCTAGCCCCTCTTATATCTCCTCAAAGATCCATAGGTATGTGCCCTCTCGGTCTCTCCGCCTGCCTACCGCCATCAGACTCTCCCCATAGTCTTGCATCTTTTAAGAAGTGCCTTAAAACCCATCTCTTTAGAAAAGCTTATGGCCTCCAAGACTAAGTTCTACCTCACATACCTCTCTCTTGCTCTCTCCTAAAGGGCAGCCCACCTTATTTGACTGCAAATTCCTGTCCTAATGTGTTTTACACCCCACCTCCTATAGAATGTAAGCTCGATTGAGCAGGGTCCTCTTCAACCTATTGTTCCCGTAAGTTTTTTGTAATTGTCCTATTTATAGTTAAATCTCCCTCTCATAATGTTGCGCTACGGAATCTGTTGGCGCTATATAAATGGCAATAATAATAATAATAATAATAATAATAATAATAATAATGCCAGGGGAGTCCTTGTGCATTCAAATCATCACTCTGCCAAAGTCAGAGAAAAGTCAGGACCGCTGTGCCAACTTTCGGCCTATTTCTTTAATAAATAATGATATCTACGCTAACATTTTGGATGAGAGATTGGAACAAATTGTCCCTTTGTTAGTTGATAAAGACCGAGTGGGTTTCATTGCAGGGAGACCAGATGGTACAAGGAGATATATAAACCTAATACATCATATTAAAGCAAATCGAACACCTTCTCTACTCCTCTCTTTGGATGCAGAGAAGGCATTCAATAGGGTCCACTGGGGCTATTTAAGAGAAGCTCTGCTCAAATTTCATTTACCCACCCCCCTTGTTAAAGCAATTTTTGTATTATATAAAAAACCCGATTGCAAAAGTTTCTGCTACAGGTTTCACCACTGATCATTTTCAACTAATTAATGGGACTCGACAGGGTTGCCCATTGTCCCCGATATTAATTGCTCTAGCGATGGAACCATTTGCCGCATTGATAAGGAAATCACCAGGGATTAAGGGACTTTCAGTTAAAAATACTGAATATAAAATAGGTCTCTTTGCGGATGATATCCTATCGTTGGCAGAAGCCAAAACTTCAGTTGACTCCCTATATTCTATACTACAGGATTTTGGAGAAGTCTCATTTTACAGGCTCAATATGGGAAAAATGCAGGCTCTATCTATACACATTCTTGGTGTGATTTGGATGATTTGAAAACTAAATTTGACTTTGACTGGAGAGACTCATTCATTGATTACCATAGAATAAAACTATGCATAGATTTAAACAGTATATACACATTTAATCTTAGAAAAGCTTGGCCAATATTAGAAAAGGACATGGAAAAATTGGAAATCTGGAATAAGTTGGAACTTTCCTGTTTAGGTAAACTTACATCTATGAAAAAGAATATCTTACCTAAAATACTATACTACTTGAGAACTATGCCCTTGTCAATTCCAAAGACATTCTTTAAAACAATTCAATCTGCTCTAATTAAGTTTATATGGGGAAATATGTTGAGCAGAATTAAAATCTTCAGTATTGCAAAATCTCAAGTCTCATGGAGGTTTAGTGACACCTGGCAATGGATCATGTAAATTTAGATAAATAGAGAGAGAAATAGACAGATAGATAATATAAGCAGACATAGATTTACTATATCTACCTTTATCAATGTCTATTTAAATGTATACATTTTTGAAATATACACTATGCAGGCAACATCAATATTCCTATAGCTAGGAGAACCAGATATTATGTATCATACCACTGCTGTTTAAAGGGACA